TCTCCCTTCTCCCTCCACCCTCCCTCCCTCCTCCTCCTCCTCCTCCTCCTCCTCCTCCTCCTCCTCCTCCTCCTCCCCTCTCCCTCTCAAGTTCAGCTCGCCCTCTCTTCTCTCTCTCTCATCGCGGAAAGAACCGCTGACGGCAGCCTGTCCATCAGCTGAGAACGCCGGGCCCTGAGGTGACAGGAATCCTCCTAGTGGAAGAGAACGAGAGGTGAAGGAAGCGTTTGCTCCGCATGCTCCACTCGCTGACATGCTGGCGGCAGTGAATTCCTTTACATCACCGAGCAATCTACAGGCATGATATACCGTGTATCTGTGGAAGACATCTAAACGCAAACATCTCTCAACTTCTTCCGATCGTCTCGTCTCCCCCTCCTTCGACTTTACCTTTTCCACCTTCTTTGCATCAGGGTCTCTACTTTCCCCTTGCATCTAGCCAGCACCATCCTATCTTCACCCGTCTTCACCTTCTTCTACTCCTGCATCCTTCACCGTCTCAGACTTCACCTCCTCCTCTCAGTCTCCTTCTCCTCCGCATCCTTCAATCCTTGACGAAGTACATCCGTCTCAGCAACTTATCCATCGCACATCTTATCTCGTCGATGTCATCTTGGAAGAAAGAGTTCAAATCCCTCCCAGCTCCCAGCGAGTCTGCCATGGCGCAAACAAAGATCCCGCAAGAGCAGCTGTCCTGTTGCATGGGTATCTGCGACCAGCACATGCTCAGAGAGTCTTCCCTGGTCTCTTGAACCACCACCAGCACGTACCTGTTCGTTCCCCACGTAGTTCTTCTTCCACAGCTCCCTGCTCCATCCCCGCGCGTCCCACTCGTGCTGAACAAACGCTGCCGCAAAGGCGTCAACTCGGCACTCGCATGCTGGCATCCTTGCCTTCCATGACGCTCAGCCACAAGGCAGGAGTCAAGTTCATCGAGTCGTACAACCTGACGAGGTCGCGATCAGTTGCGAGTGAGTGAGGGAGGGAGTGAGTGAGGGAGGGAGTGAGGCAGTGAGGGAGGGAGGGAGGGAGGGAGTGAGTGAGTGAGTGAGGGAGGGAGGGAGGGAGGGAGGGAGGGAGGGGAGGGAGGGGGGGGGTTCGTCCCCGAGAGTTCCACCAACCTTATCGTCAGAGCCTCCAGGTCGACCACTATCATGCTCCAGTGCGTCCCTTCCGCTGCCTTCTTGTCAAACGTCACGTTGACGGGGATGACGACCCGTTGGTAGTGGCTCCACGTTGCAGGATCGAAGCAGCTCCTCAGCTCGCGGTGGATCTCAGTGTCTTTCTGCCATGATCGGGGCGTCAGCACATGCCATCCCACAGCAACTTGGTCGAGTTCTGCGCGTCTTGTCTCACAACAAGGACACGTTTGCACATCACGACATCGAGACGATCGCCTCCCTGTCTCACCTCTCCTGCATTCCTGCCGAGCAGCAACTTGGTGAAGAAGTGCGTCGAAGCGAAGTATGTCCCCCTTCGTCCATCGCTCGTGGCGCTCGATTCCGGAGCAGCAGCCGTTGCTCCAGGTCTCTTCCCCTCCCGCAAGATCAGCAGCTGTAAGTAAGCATCGATGATCTGGTCCTTCAACCAGCGGCCAGGCAGCAGTCCCTTCAGGTCCTCCTCTCTCAACTCCACGGTCGTGATCTTGTTCTTCAGTCCCCCCTCCTGCAATGCTGCTACCAGCATCCCCCTCGTATACTTCAGGCTCCCCACCCACTCCTGCAGGAACAGACAACTCGAAGAATCACCAGAGTCCCAGTCCATTCCTGCTCCCGCCGTCCAGTCCCTTCCTACCAACCCCATCCTGTCTATTCCCTCTGCCTCCCTACCCACAGCACCATCCGCATCCAGCAAGTCAGCCGTTCGCTTCCTCCCCTGAGATTCTTGAGCCCGTCCTGCAGCCTCCTCTTCCTCCTCCTCCTCCTCCTCCTCCTCCTCCTCCTCCTCTCGGTTCTCTCCCTTCTCCTTCGCTCCACCGTACGGGCAGGTTCGAGCATTGTGCCCCACGTACCCGCACTTGCTGCACCTGTTAAATCTCCTTCCTTCATACTGCTCCTCTTCTAGATCTGCCACTACCTGACTGCGCCTCTTTCGGATGCGGATCCGAGGTTCGCCAGGACGCGCCCGCGTACGTCGAGCCTGGTACTTGGGGTGGTGGTAGCCTCCTCTGCTGGGCACTGTAACATCCTTCATGCTCGGAATGTACCCCAGAAGAGACTCAGGATCCTCCACTGCCTTGATCAGCGACTGACACAACCAGACTTCGTCGTAGAGCTGCTGGACCAACTTCCCTCCCCCCCGCTCCCCGCGCTCCTCTCGCATCCGTTGGAACGCCGCAATGGCATGCGAGCAAGGCCTGGTGGTCAGCTGCCAGTGCGTGCAGGAGCAGAACTTGTCCGACAGGTTGACGTTGAAAGTCTCTGACGAGCCGTCGTCCATGGTGGATCGGATGCGAACTAACTTGGGGCAGGAAGCACTCCCGACCACCTGCAGCCTGGGATAGATCCTCTCGTTCTCCCTGTACTCCTTGGCAATGTCGTCTGAGACGAAGATCGCCTCCTCCCCCGCCTCCATCTTGAGCAGGATGTTGGAGTACAGCTCATGGATCCTCTGCAGCGAGCTCATCCAAACCTCCGCCATTGCCTGGAAGAAGTTGAGGGGGTGCGAGGTCTTGCCCATGGCGGCCCGGAGTCTCGGGTCCTGTCGCTCAGTGAAATGAATCTTTCGGATCCCATACGTCCTCACAGCCTTGATGGTGACCGAGCTCCCTTCCTCGTCTGTCACTGGGACCTTGGCCAACGCGTACGTGGCCTGGAAGCAGCCGTCCCGGTCAGACTTGTCACAGTACCGGGGGAGAGGAGGAAGAGGAGGAAGAGGAGGAAGAGGAGGAAGAGGAGGAGGTGGTGGTGGTGGTGGTGGTGCTGGAGGAGGAGGAGGGTCAGGACGTGGACAAGGACGTGGACAAGGAAGGGGAGAGGATTCGGAGCAGCGTACCCAATGGATGGGAGCTATGCTCTGGATGTACTTCACGGCACTACCGTTCTGCTGTGCGAGCAGGTCGAGAGCATCTTGAAAGTCCTTGACAGTCCTCGCGGCCTGCCGGGCCTCAACTGTCAGCCCAAGGAGCGGCCGGCAGCAGTATATCCACCTGAGCCCTTAGGACGAGCGCCTCCTGGGACGTGATGCCCGATTGGAGCAGCGGCTCCTTGCAGTCTACTCCAACAAACGCTTCACACTTCCCACACCACCCTCCTCACTCGGTTCACCTTCACAGTGCCTCCGCAAGCTGGACAGAAGATGGCGCCCGCAGTACACGACGTCAGCATGCGGCAGCGACTTCTCGACCCCTTCTAGAATGCCAGAGCCCCTGTCGGTCAGGATTGTCAGGCTCCCCGAGCTAGGGGCCAGCCAAGGGCCCAGCGTCGATCGTTTCAACTCCTCCCACATGAAGCACGCGTTCTCCGTGGTGCCGCCTTCTACAATCTCTTCCTCAGTCTTCCAGCTCGGAAACACGCCCACAGCTGCTGGAAGGATTGTTCCGTCGGGCAGATAGGCTTCTATCACCATGGCCCTTCCGGAGAACCAGCGGTGGCCGAAGGTACAGAAGTTCTAGGAGGTCGAGTCAGCGACCAGGGGCGAGAGGAAGGAGGAGCAAGCATCACAGTTACCTGACCGAGCAGCCGCAGCCCGCACTGCTGGACCAGGTGGAGTACCGTTCCGTTGGCGAAGAAAGTCCGTCGGAACACAACCTTGGAGTCATCGGGAACTTCGGGCAAGGGAGGCTCTGCGACAAACACGCTGCCTTTGTTGAGCTTGACGTACTCCGACATCCAGGATGGAAGCACCTTGAAAGAGTCCTTGTAGTCTTGCCACGAACCGAGCTCAATCTGTTGGCGGGCGTCGTAGATCACGTCGAGGGTAGCGCTAATGTTGTACTCCGTTTCCAGCTTAGCTTGCAGCTCCTTGGCAGTCAGACGGTCACCTCGGCCGCTTCCTCCCACGTCGTCGGACTCCATGGTCTCCACCAGGGAGCGGAAGGACTTGTTCTGCAACAGGAAGGAGGTAGTGGCCTTGGCTCGCGACTCGCACACTGTCGCATCGTGGCACATGTTGCTCCTCTTCGCATCGATCCAGAAGAAGGAATCGGCGGGATCCATAGTCCGCTTCTTCCTGATCAGCAGGAAGTACTTACACTCTGGGGAGGTACACCTGATGTTGTATCCCCGCATGCCGTGCATGCCGGTCACGTGGCTGGCCACTTGCCTGTTGCCATGCTTCATATTGATCTCCTTGATATAGGCGGTGCAGTCCGGCCTCCGTTTCCACTTGCGACCCTGAAAGAAGGCAGCGTGATCGAGCGTTTCTGTCGAACTCTCCTCCCGCTGCTGCGCTTCCTCGAGCGGGTTTCTCTGCTGCTCCGAGTATCTCCTCTGCAAGACCTCCGTGCCGGAAGGCGGGTCCTCGTCCAACACTAAAACGTCCGAACTGTCATCATCATCCGTATCCTTTGCGATGCTTTGGTGGGTCTGACCTTCCAGTCCCGCTTGCTGACCCCTGTCAGCGTCGATGGTGGCTTGCATGTCTCTGCGACGGACATTCGACGGCACAATGGTCCGATACAAACGTGCGACGGGGTCACCTATCCCTTCCTCCGGCGAGTACTTCCAGCAGCACTGGGCATATCCATGCTCGATCAACCCGATGATCGGCATCGTCGCTTCTATACACAACTCCTCGCGCAGGCGGGCGACCATCACATGTAGATGCGGCACCTCCTCCTGCTCAGCCGCCTCCATGGCAGATTTGAGGAGCCCTAAAAACTAACAGGAATATTATGAAGCTGCAGTACAACGAGCCAGTACCGCATAGTGTATTTATCCCCTACTACCTCTAATCTTGTACCGCACTTATTTAATTACCCTCCAAAACAGTTACAAGCCGTTTCAAAACGTCTTCCTTCCAATCTCGATTCCCCACTAGATTTACTCAAAGTTAAGTTAAAGATCAGTACGAGGACCAACAATCGTCCTGACCCCTGACTTGAGTAATAATTCAACGGAGAATCCCGAGTCACCGCCCTCCAACCCACGGGCCTCGGAGCAAAAGATATTTTCCGGCCGGAGGTACATTTCTTTTATACCTTTATATATTTTATACTCACTTTTTTGGAGCTCATGTGCGCATGTGCCCCGGAAGGCCCATGACTCAAAATCTCGCCGATAGGGACCCCCTCATCTCCCTTTGACCACCCCCATGTTTTATAGGCTCGGAACATAGGCTCCGCACGGAGCCTCCGGGCAATGGTGCTAAAAGCAATGCGCCGTGCCATCGGGCGATATTTCGGAAATGGCCGGTTCCTGCTCGACTGACAACCCCAGGGGTCGTCAAACTCGTAGGTTATTAGTGGGGTGGTAACTTCTTCGGGAGGCGGCCGAAACAGAACGTTTCGGTTGACCCCTGTAGTCACAAGCGGATGAATCCGAAAAAGGAGATATTCGATACCCAGGTACAGAAAACAGAAAATCGATTTTAAACATTTTCCTCCGGTACTATGAGTTTTACTCAAGTAATCCTGTTCTTGTCTTGGAATTATTTCAAATTATTCATGATAGTTTCAATTGTTCCAGCGAACAAACCTGACTTTTCTCCGAATACTGATGCTACAGTGACGTGATTTGCTGACGCACCACAAGATATGATCATTATAATCCTCTACCGAGACTCCGAAGACACCTACCCCACCCATTCTGTCCTGATGTTTGCTGTACAGAGACCTCCTTCAAATGGCGATAGATCTATGATATGGCAAATCATGTACTTCCTTCAATTATGAAATATCTGACCTCCATTGTTCTTTCAACGCTGTGTCCCCAATGAACGTCAGGAGGGGTACCAAACATGTTTGAAATCAAGGGCATCGGATGCTCCGATTGCCCTACCATGAAAAGTACCTACCTGCGGACCCTTTCCCCTTGTCTACCCGTACTTATCAGTCTAAATACCCCACCCTAATCACCAAGATTCCACTACCACCCCGTACCTTTGAAAAATCACGATTTTTTTAACTTATCACCTCTCATTTGGAAGTTTGACGACTACCCCCACCCTCAACGACGCAAAAACACCCCTGTCCACCCCACCCTCGGAAAATCTTGGTACCGCACCCTCTCATGTCAGCGTATCGTGCTGTTTACCACACGAAATGACCACCCACCCCTTGACACCCACTTAGTATGATCGTGTGCTTCCAAGACACCCCCACCACCTCTTGTGTGATATCCATCTTTTGGACCCACCCCTCATCGTGATATCCACCATGTCTCTCAATATCCGTACCCTACCCGTTTCTATCCTCCCTATTGACTTCCATCTGTACCCCAACCCCTTCCTACCCTGCCCCCGTCCCCCCTTCCCGCCCTGCGTGCACTCGCATACCTGTCCTTGCTCCTCCTCCTCCTCCTCCTCCTCCTCCTCCTCCTCCTCCTCCTCCTCCTCCTCCTGCTCCTGCTCCTGCGCCGCTGGACCTTCAATATCCCGTCTTCTCCATTCCAGCCTCGTATCTGTGCGGCGAGGTTCTCTCGGCGGGTATTTTGCGATCATGTCTCCTGCAAAGAAGCAGCGAACGGAGCAAGCTGAGGAGCTGGCATCTTCTGAAGGATCGTATTCCTCTTCGCCCATGTACGAAGATGAGGGAGAGGAGTCTTTTCCGATGGCGGCAGAGAGTGGGGAGCGAGTGCCGTTTTTCCACCGGTCACCCTCATCTCCGGAACAACAGGCTGCCTCACAATCTCCTGTGGAATGGGAATCGCACAAAAGAGATGTTGCGTTTGATCAGGCGACTAAAGTAGAGGACGTGGGAACAGCTCACGTCAGTGACTTTGCAAGCGATGATCCTAGTGTGAAGGACCAGCAGTTTCCGCTCCTCCGCAATTGTTTTGACTCGTTTGATGAGTTTGACTTCAGTTTTAGTGATGATCTCGAGAGAATGCTGGCGTTTGCTCTTGGCACGCATTCGAGAGCAGGAAACAACTCTTTTGTACGACTTCTTAACAGCAATGTGCTGCAAATGATTCTATGCTGCGAGCTCACGATTGGTCCAACAAGATATTACAAAACTCTCAGGAGTGCTTTGTCGTGTGGGTCAGCGAAGTGCGCAGCTTTGGTCAAAATCTATGTTGATCCCGGTCTGCACATGCTGGAGGCGGAGGCAGAGGTCAAAGAGCCAACTCGTCTCATCATTCGGAGTCTGGCGCCACCTGAAGCGTCAGGAGAGAAAACAGTGTTCTCTAGCTTGCAGGGTCGGCCGCTTCTGCGAGTGTCATGTTCCGATGCTAAGGTGCACGTCAGCGATGTAGACTTTATCTTCAGACACGATGGACCTTCTACCACGGACTTGAAGCAGAGGTGTATTTGGGTTACAGAGGGCAAGCTGTTGCTACAGCGCTGTGGCATCACCTCGGATACTGGGATTGGAATCTGTGTTCTGAGGAGTGGCGTGGTTCGAGTTGATCAATGCGAGATTTCAAACTGTGGGTTTGTTGGTATCGCATCCGCGCAGGGGGGGGTTGCAGAAATCGTGAACAGGTGTAAGATTTCGGGCAACAGACATTTTGGTGTCCTTGCAACCGACTCAGGATCTTCGTCGATGATACAAGATAGTGAATTCACTGGCAATGGTACTTATGGTATCGGTGTTGGGGCAGGGGGGCAGCTCAAGGCTTTGAACTGTGAGATTTCGAACAATCAAGTTGGAATAATTTCGAAAGGCTTCGGTTCGCATGTAAGCCTTCGTGATTGCAAGATAAACAGGAATAGTAGAATCGGTGTCGGCGTCAGGGAAGGTGCATCAGCCATGGTGCAAGGCTGCCAAATGCAAAGGAATCTGTATGGTGCTTGTGTTTCGAACTACGAGTCAATCATTTCATTGCACAAGAGTGATTTGAGCGAGAACCTTACTCATGGACTTGGTGCAAGCGATGGTGGGACTGCGGAAGCATTCTTTTGCACGATGCAGGGCAACCAAGTTGGTGTGGTTTCAAAGGGTCAGGGCTCAACAGTTCTGCTTAATTCATCCAAAGCAAACAAAAATCTTCGGATTGGTGTTGGCATTCGTGAAGCTGGCAAGGCAAAGTGTGTCCAGTGTGAGATGGTTGAGAACCAGTATGGGGTCTGTGCATTGAATTATGGCGCATCAGTGTCCTTATTGAAATGTGTAGCAAGCCAGAATGAGCGCTATGGTCTGTCATCCAGTGATGGGGGGTTTGTCCAAGCAACAGATTGCCTCTTCGAGAACAATTTACAACTTGGTATTGGTGCATGGCATTCGGAGTCGCGGGTAGTTCTGGTCAGGTGTACAGCAAGAAGGAATGGTCGCACCGGACTTGCATCAAGAGTCGGAAGTAACGTTGTAGCAACAGATTGTGCTTTCAATTCGAATCAACAATTTGGGGTGTATGTGTCTGGGGAAAGCTCTGTAATCACTTTGAAGAATTGTGCAGCAAACTCAAACGGACTGTATGGAGTCGGTTGTAGTGAGGGCGGTCTTGCACAGGCAGCAGATACGGTGCTGGACAAGAATCAGCAGGCAGGTGTGGTGGCGAAGGATGCCGGGTCTGCCGTAGCCCTAAGAAATTGCAATGCCAGCTCAAATGGTCGCATTGGTGTTGCTGCGATAGTTGGAGGGCATGTCGAAGCCGTTGGTTGCACTTTAAAACACAACGAAAGGGTTGGTATTGGGGCTTGGCATGCAGGCTCAAAGGTCACTCTATTGAAGAGCGAGGCTTCTGAGAACGGAGCAACAGGAATCAGTGCGATCGATGGTGGTGTGTTGCGTGCTGTGGAATGCAGCGTCATTGCGAACAGGAGAGTTGGGGTGGTTGCAAGGGATGGAAATTCAGTGATTTCGATGCACAAATGCATTTCGAACAGGAATGGTCGGATAGGTGCAGGTGCGAGAGGGCAGGGAAGTATCGAAGCTGTCGAATGCTTTCTCAGCGACAACGTCCAATCCGGCGTGGTTGCTCAAGACGAGGGATCAAAAGTAGCGCTGGTACAATGTTCTTTGGAAGGGAATGGCAGCTTTGGCATTTCAGTTCGCTCTGGTGGACTTGCTGAGATGGTGAGCTGCATGATTCGAAACAACATGTGTGCAGGAGCGTACGCTTGCCATGTTAACTCACGTGTTGCAATGTGGTGGTGCAACACTCTCGACAACGGTCCTACCGTACTGAACTCCCGGGATGGCTGTGTGGTCAAGATTTTTGATTCTCCGTTACAAGGCAGCTACAAGGTGATTCAAGATACCCCATGCGACATGGAAGGTGCTGCGTCTCTGGGATGTCAAAGCAGCGTGGTCGACCTCGCGTACCCTGAGTTTGTCCATTCTTACCAGATCTCCGGCAAGTCTCATTCCAAGTTGATATATGACGCGTTCTTCCGAATACTGCAAGAGAATTTTCAACGCGTGGGTGTCAAGTAGTTAAGATAGTTGAGAATTAATTCTTCATAAATTCTTTCTGGAGCTTCACGATTGGCAACCCTTCAATGAACTACGCTTTATCAGTTGCTTAATGGCTGCATGTCATTGCTCGGCCTGAGGCGGCGGCGCTTCAAGTCTCTCAGAGTCTGGCCGCCCAGTGAGGCCGCACGCGGCCGACGACACGGCGGCGGGCCGCTGCCGGCCGGGCCGGCGGGCCGGCGCGCAGCCCGGATCATAGGCAGTGGGCCGCTTTTACTCTCCATAGAACTTGTGACTTGGCATCAAGCCCCGGGCCGCTCGGACAGCCGCTCAGGGCCGGGCCGCACTGTAGTCGGACCAACCGGCCGTTTACTCAACCGGCAGTACTCCCAAGTTGCCAGTGACGGTCAGAGTGACGGTCCCGGGCCGGCGCGGATGTTCGCACCGGTCGAATCTCACAAATGGTGGGGTAGTTTCGGGCCTAGAAGGTGGGGTGATCGCCACCATTTACGAGAGTAGGGTGAATAAATGATCATATGGGGGGTAGTGGGGAAGGAGGGGGTACATAACGGGTACAAGCGGGGATGAGGTCAAAGTCCGATGACTCCTGAGGAACTGCGAAGAGGCAGTGCGAAGAGCCATTCTGACGAGGGGAACCAAGGGGGTAGGGGTACAAAAGATGGGGTATTTCTTGCAATAACCCGTATTTATGAGGTCCAATATCTCTAATAAGTGACGGGTATTATGCATAAAGAGTGGGTGATGGTTGTAAGGTTGCTGTTCCGGGTAGGGTAGGGTTTGAGGGTATAAAAAGAACAGCCAACAGGCAAAGCTCAACGCGGCCCGACCGGTGAGCATGGACGCTGCAGGATGTGTTGATGCATGGAGACGTACTTTGGGGTTGAGAAGAACAAAGCAACATCATTGAATGATCTTGATATGCTCTATGTTATTGCGGCTCATAGATTTTAGAGTTGATGGAGGTGAACTTCACTGTGTTTTATGCATATGTCATGGTTCAGTGTTGTTTGATTTCAGTGTTGTTTGAAATCTACGTTGTCCATCACTGTAAGATAGCATTACTGACATTTTCCTGCAGAAATGTTCTCCCAGACCAAGCAGCAGACCTCCCAGCTCTGGATGTGGCGCATGGAGTACCTCCACCACGAGCAGCGTCCCCTCTACTTCGGTGAATGGTTCTAAGCAGTGACAGTTGTCTTTCTGCAATTGTAGCTATCTCTCATTTTATTCGTTAAAAATGAATAACATTCACTGAGAAATGCATGATGTGAAGTGATGTGCAAAAACTAATGTATACCTCTGTGTTCACTATTTGCATTTATCTGTTAAACTGGCTGGATACATGCCATCCGCTCCAGAACACAAGTGCAGACTCACTCTTACGAAGGTGTATGCAACGATATAGTTGTCTGGTACAGTTCTTTCTTTACTCCCAGTAGTTGACACCGCCGCATCTATCATAGAGGCATGCTTGCTCTGGGTCTGACGCATTAGAAATCATCCTCTCAGCAAAGGGCTTCAGTTCGCCATCATCCTTCCAAACCTGGCAAAAGACAGCGTCACAAGGAACATGCTGTTGGACAGGCATTTGCTCACCTTCGGGTAGTTATGGGATGCATCGGGAACCCACGACTTGTAGTTGTGAGGGGCAAACCTGCAGGCGTGTCAAGTGAAGCATGCGCACCCGGGAGCCAAACCCTGAAGTAGCTGCTTCCGAGTACCCACAGACAGCCTGCCATACTCCCATCACTATAGCGTTTCGATGCAGCTGATGGTGAACCGGTCCAGCGGAGGCAAACTGGGGGTCGTCAGGGTCCATTCCTGGCCTCCACAGGCCCGTGGGTTGCACATAGCTGGTACCATGAGCATGGAGAAGGAAGCGAGAGGAGAGCAGAGAAACAGAGGAGGACAGGAGGAGGGAGGAACAGGAGGAGGGAGTAGATGCAAGACAAGAAAATTAGTGGGGGAAACGAACCGAACAAGTGCTGCTCACGGTACGGCCGTTCCTGGGATGGGGGCCATTGCCCGGTAGGTTCCGTTCTTTCTCCTCTCCTCCTCATGAATCGCCTGGAAAAGACATCAGACGAGGGCGAGGTGGTTGCGCACTTGCCCATTGAGGTTTCTCGGTTTCTTGCAGCAAACGGTCCAACAAAGCACTATGAGTCGCTTGCTTGCTCGGGCCCCTCACCACTACGCTCTCCAGGTACTCCTTGCTGATCCCTGTCAACGACAGCGCAGTCAAACATTGCAGGTCAAAGGAGGGTCAAGAGGAGGCCCAACCGAAGTTGGTCATGGTCTGTGAATAATTGGTACTTTCGCCGGTCATGCTCCTGTTTAATGCCAGGCTCTGGAGGGCCTCTTGAAGCTCTTTCTTTTCTTCTTCTTCAGCCTTGGACTTAGTCGTATTGATGAACTCATCAGAATCACTGGAGTCCCAGCTGAAAGTGTCTTGCTTCTCCTTTGCTGGTTCCACAAAGTTCTCTTCGTCGCTACGTTCGTATTCTCCCTCCTTCCATTCGTGCAACATCCACTTTTCACTCTTGTAGACGTCACTTCCGGCCCCGCGTAATGTCAACGCCCTCGTTACATGAAACGATCTCAAGTGTATGCTGAAAGCATCATTCACAAAGATGGCAGAAAGCGACGCTGTGGTAAGAATCAGCGATCGTTTCAGAGCTGCGAGCCTTGCTTACCATAAAATATCAGTCGACACACTCCAAGGTTCGTCATTGACTTATGTGATTTCTTCAACATTGGTTTGGTTGACCCGAATTTCTTTCACCTAATCCAGCATGCAAGGAAAGAACTTCCACTGTCGAACAGGATATCCGGAAACCAACGAGCCTCAAACTAGATCAAGGAGGATGAGAACCCTTTACCTCCTTCGAGCGCACGTTCGAACCTGCTGTCCTCAGCAACCGTTTGCTTAGCCCTCCGTCCTCTCGCTCTCCATCGCGCTCTTCACCTCAGCTCCGCACACAACCACAACATACGCGGCAGCGATGCACCTTCCGGGCTGGAAATGCAACTGAGGGGGGCCTGGTCGAACTTGGGAGACAAGCCTGGGTGACGGGCCCGGGGACCGGGCCCCACTGTAGTCCGGGCGGGCCACCGGGTCGGCAACCCGCGAGGCGGCCTGCAATAATAACTCTCACTGTCAAGTTGCTGGGGTCCGCCTCTATCGCGCAGAATCATTTCGTGCCAATAGCCAACCGGCCCCGGCGCGAGAGATGATTTCTTTGCTGCCAGCCTGAGTGAATCCATAGAACACTGTGACACCGTATGCCACCGGTGGCAAAATCAAAGAAATTTGTGCTGGGCAGGAGTTGAAAAGGGCAGCCTGGACAGTCACGATGCCAGCCATGATCACTGAACTTGATTTATGTGGTCATTCGTAAGTTTCTATTCGCCGTCTGCTAGGCCTGGTGCCCAGCTACAGCGTTAAGCTAGCGGATCTGTCGGCTTCCCTGTCGACTCGTCGATCCATGCTTCCCCGTTCCACACGATGCGCTTGCCGTCCTTGACCCTGTACGTCCCAGGGGAGAACCTGATCCCGGTATGCCAGTTGACACCGGCCTAGCATACTTCATCTCAGCCAAGAAGAAGAAGAGGCAACAAAGGGCAGGAAGGAGACAGGAAACGAAGCAAAGGAGGAGGAAACTTGAAGATTGGCGCAGAGGAGGAGCAGACGAGATGAGAGGAGTGATGAGGGTGTGGGGTACGCTGGAAGCAACAAGGGATACCTGCGTGCCAGACTCGAACTTGAACTGCTCAGTCAGTTCCATCACCTACAAATAGGAGGTGAGGCATGAAGGCAAAAGGGAGGGAGTTCAACCTCCCCAAAGTGAGCGTTCCTCTTCTGCTGGTTGGCCCACCCCGACAGCTCGTGGGTCCAATGCACCAGGAAGTGGAACGGCAGGACGGCGAACTTGAACTGCTTGTAGAAGAGGCTGAGCACGTGCTGGGGCAGGAATCAGACGCGAGAATCGCACTGCAAAACGTCACCTGGGCCTTGTCGTTGCCGTAGTGGATGAATCTCTCGTCGAAGAACGGCATCTGCCATGAGCAAGCGAGCTCAGCTCCCCGCACTGATTCAGCAAGCTCTCTCAGAGGTACCGAGGAAGTAGCCCCTAGCAGGTAAGGCTCGCACGGCCAGCGGTAGTCTGCGAGATAGGACTGGGTGGCATTGTACCAGGCATCGTAGTTGAGGCAGCTGCACCAGTTTCCATAACTACGTGACTGCTCAATCCTCCTCCTCACCTGAACGCTGGCCAGAACTCATCCTTTCCTGAAAGAATTGGCTTTATCTTGGCAGCTCGTAGCAGCGTCATCAGATCGTCCTTGTCCACAGGAAACTGAGTCTCCTGCTCCCCGGCGTCAACAAAAGTGAAGAGGTCGCGAGGAAGCGGCAATCTGCATGCCACACCGTAGAGGCTGCTGCCCCAACACCCTGGAAGGCAGGGATCGTGAAGACATGGTTCTTGGACATCACCCGAAGGACGTTGATCTTGCATGCTATCAACTGCTGGCGGCGAGGACAGGAGATGAAACCTGAGATTGCAGCGACTTGTAGAATCCCGGGTCAGGGATAAGGTCGATGTCGAGGAGGAAAACAAAAGTAGACTGCAACAGTCCAGTCACGGCAAGAAGGGATAGGGGTCCAACCCCTCTGACAAACCTTGACAGTTTCCAAGGCCAAGTTTCTGAGAATATTTGCCGGGTACGTGGTGGCATCCCTTGCCTTGAAGCAAGGAGAGTCAGTGAGGGAACCAAATGCAGGGAGCAAAGATCACATTGGCCAATATCAAGTGATAGTTCTTCCTTCCCTCGACGTCAAGAGCCTTCACAAATCGATCGACAAGCTCCTTCTCTTCCAGCTTGTTCCGAATATAGATACAGGCAACCTGTAGACCAGTCATTGCTTCCCAATCGGAGCATCATCATCGACCATCGGCCCTGCCCATCGCCTGAAGTAACTTTGCAGACGATCTTACAGAAACATCAGAGAACAGACGAGAGAACTGAAATGACGATACCAAGTCGATCCACGGTGAGATGGGTGCTGATGGAGATATCGTCTCCTGACATTATCCCTCCTCCAGTCCTCACGTCCATCTCCCCAATGAACTGCTCCCGTGGAACCCGAGACATCTGCGGGGCCGAGGCGTCACTTGATAGCTTCGTAGGTAGCTACTGCTAGACCTTGCTGATCGCAGCTTCGTCGGGTCGCTTTCCTACTTGTCGCATTTTCCCTCCTGACTCTGCAGGTGCAGGTCAGCACCCACTCGATGAGACAACATGAAGCCGACCTGAGGCCCCTCCCTGCATCTGGTTTCCAACAGCATTATCCTGGCCAATCACCCGGAGATCGGAGGAGGAGGACGAGGAGGACGAGGAGGATAAAGAAGAGGGAGAGAGGGAGGATGGAGAGAGGGAGGATGGAGAGAGGGAGGATGGGGAGAGGGAGGACGGCGAGAATGAAGAATATGGTGACATCTTGTTTGATGATTCTTGCCCTCCAATTGAATTTCCAGCAAGGCTAATGGAAGGAAGCAGCCCTGGTTGCTGCAAATTTTCCTTACGAAGTTCTTCTTGCTTAGCCTGCACTGCTTGTGCACCGGAGCTTGAAATCGAGCTTCCCATCCCCTTGTAGCGATCAAGACCCCAAGCTGGTGGAACTCATCACTCGTTTGCTCAGTCCCATTGAGTTTCCTCACCAGCAGCATCCGGACTACCACTCGCTTTTGCCGGCACATTGAAGATCTCCTGCAGTGGTTAGTGAGCTTGTTCGAACACCTATCTGATGTAAGATAGCTTTCATGTAACACGTACCTTCTTCTCTACTGCAGCATCCTTAGCAGGAATAGGGTTCCACTCAATCGGCCATGGATCATTATTCCACACAAATCTCTTCACCTCTACGATAAACAGCTTAAGCAAGTGTCTTAAGAATAGTGAATTTTTCTTACCTCTACCTTGATACATCAAACGTCTGGCAACATCCTGATTGAAAGAGAAGAAAACAGCTTCTGCCGAAGCTCGATGTACGAATTTCTGGACATTCACTTTACCATCATGCCACCACACCTCCCAGTCTTCCGCTGCCGCTGCCGCTGGCAACGCAACTTTGTCTTTGAGCAGGTTCTCCAGCTTGTCCGGGTCCAGGGTGAGTTGCTTCTCAAGAGGCTTGAGATTGGCAGCTTGCACACGCTTCAGGTCCTGCTCGAAGTGAAAGTATTCCTGCGTAGGCCTCTGCGAGATCAGCCTTGTCGTGTTCCCCAGCAGTCTCATGTTGAGATTCGGAGCTGAAAGGATCTGGTTGTGCCGGAACGCTATCGCCGAGTCATCGATCTTCCTGTCGGCAGCTGCTGAAGAGCCTTCAGCCGACGATTTCGATTGAAGCGGTGCCCCCTCTCCGTACAGGTAATCGTTTCCCCTGATCGAAGGAGCTCGAGCAGCCATGCTCGCGACTGAAGGATAGTTTCTCGCAGGTTGCTGAGCAGCAGGATCCTTTTTGGAAGCCTTCTGAGCCACAGCTCCTTCCACCTTCATGACTTCCGAATTCAGAATGGACCGCCTGATCTCCTCCTCTGTTTGAATGAGGTTTGCACGTTTGCTTTGCAGGTTATGTAACTCGTTCGAATAATACAGCAGTGATATCAGTGTCAGCAGCTCCATCACCGCAACCACCACAACCCCGCTCCGCACGTTCATGGTTGCGCGTTTTCGCAATCCTTCAACTACTATAGAGCATGTTTCATCTTCCGCATCCGGTTTGATTCCACCTTTGTTCCGATCGAGCTATCCGTCATGCTCTTGTACAGTTTGGATCAGGGTCCATGACAGCAGTAAGAAATAATGATTCCTTGCTACTAAAAATGTTTGTTGGTCACCTAATCTTCTTGTATACAACTACCTTCCTCCTCCTCTCCTCTCCTCTCCTCCTCTCCTCTCCTCTCCTCTCCTCTCCTCTCCTCTCCTCTCCTTTGAACTTTCTCATTCCCTCATGACTTTCCCCATGCGAACACTCGCCACGCAAATCTTTCCGCAAACAGTTCACGACCACCCCACCCACACTCTCCCCATGAAATACCCCAATGAGTACCGAAAACCACCCACCCCATTCACCCAATACACATTAAACATTACCCCTAGAATTCTGCACCCTCCCCAATACTTCCGCTACCCCCTACTTGACTGTTATTATTGGGACTTTCAAGGGTACATTGACCACCCTACCAATCTATTCACATCCAACCACCCAAGGTGAATGGTTGTTTAATGCGACCGACAATATTTTATTGTCAGAGTCCCAGAGATTTATAGAAACTTTACTGCACCCTCACAGTGCTGCCTATCCGATTTTGCTGTCCGATTTTGTGGTTTCAGTGGAAGGCGGCCATGGAAGAATGGGCGCGAAGAAGGATGGAGGAGATGGGGGGACCGGAGGCGGCAGAAGTCTGCGACTTCATCCTTAGCCTTGAGGTCAGTTGATCCTCCATCACATCTAACCGAGCTCCACTTGTCTTCTCGACCTGACATGCGAAGAGTTTGTTTGACGCATGCTTTGGCTTGTACATTGCTCCCCACTAGAGGTTGGTTCGCATGGTTCAGAGCTGTTTGTGTCCTCTTTCTGTTGTTCCGACTGCTATTCATTGTCATTCCACCGCTAGCTGCATCTTGATCCATCCCGATAATCAAATCAGATCCCATCTCATCCCTTCGAGAATCCCTTGGTTATCATCCTAACCTTGACTCGCGGCAGGATGAAAACATTTTGAGAGAGACCGTTCATGCCATCTTCCACTCAGCTAAAGATGCGGATCTCTTCTTGTCAGAGCTGGCGAAGAAGCGATCTGAAAGCAAGGCAGGACCTGCTGCATCCGCTGAGGAGAGGAATACGCAACGAGATGCAGGGGACGATCAGAAGCAGCGGGCTTCATCCGGACGAACGACCAGGAACGATGGCTCTGACTGGTTCGCTAAAGCCGGACAAAAAGCTGCAGACGAGGAAAGCGCAAGAGCAAGATTGCAGAGGAATTTGAATCGGTCATGCTCCCCTGAGCCAAAGACAGAGGAGGCATCGAAGAATCCTGTGGAATTGGAAAGCACGAATATGAAAGCCTACCAGAAAGGCGAAGATGAAAACGAATTTGCAGGGCTGGCAGTTGAAAAGAAGTCAAAGAAGAAGAACAAGAATGCTGTCGGAAATGGTCAAGCTTTTAGTGAATCAAGCAGCTCCGGAAATAAGGATAGTGCCCCATCAAAGCCGAAGCTCAGCCGGTAACATGGTTGCAACATTTCCGGTAGACTGAATCCTTTCGTTTGTAGCGCCGCACGAGCAGAAATGTTGTCGTCTATCTCAGGTGAAGCTTTCTTAGTTCCTGGACGGCATCCTTGCAAATGGGTGGGGAATGGCGACGAATACAAACTAGTTGGAAACTGCATGGATTGTGGAAAGATTCTTTCAAACCAGGTAGGTGACTTTACCTCGTACTTCAGATTTGCTGAAACTCAGAGTCCAACAGGAGGGAAAAGGTCCCTGCCTAGTCTGTGGGTCTGAACAAGTGTACATTGCTGATGGCGACTGCATGCTGGATGGGACCCCCGTGAATCAGACTCTTCTCGCAAAGCGCCGAAGGGGAGCAGGAAATGAGAATGAGATAGACGAACTTGATTTGCAGGTGGGTTTAGCTAATCCGAATCTTGTGGTATTCTGCTCTGATCTTGTTTTTTTGCAAAAACTGATTCTGCTTTGTATGCCTTGTCCGTTTTGTTTGTTTGTCCTTTCCAAGGTGCTTAGTTCATTAAAACCTTTTTTACAGTTGCGTGAGAGAAATGAAGGAGAAGCGGAAGCATTCCTGAGTGCACTGGACCTCCGTGATCGTTTGATAGATTTTGAGCAGAACAGAGCTGCACGTACCACAGTAATCGACGACCAGGCTGATTTCTTCGATAGCTCTTCGCACTGGCTAACCAAGGATCAGCGTGAAAGCGCAATGAGGGCAGAAAAAGCCTTCATGGATCGTCTCAACAAGGGGAGAAATTCAGATCCTGTCATGTTTTCGATAGATTTTGCAGGACGTAAGATTGTCGAAGGAGACATTCAGCACGAGGCAATGGACGCCGACGTCACTTCAGGTCCTGCTCGCATCGACTCGGAATCGCAGGGAGTTCAGGCTGCCAGCACTCCATTGGCTTCTCTGTCTCATGCTGGAGCAGCCCCGAAGGGCCCGAAGATCGATCTGATGGGTCCGACGTTGCAGCAGGACATGTACTTGGGGGCTCAGTACAGTCGGCCACAGGGCCCGGTGTCCCTCAAGAATGACAATCTCTATGGAAGGTCTCGGGAGATCTACGAGCTGCTGACAGAAATTTTCAAGCCTTCCAGCAAAGACAAGATGAAGGTGGAAGAGTCGTCTTCAAGGAGCGGGAATATCTTGCAGCATGAAAGGGACGATCCAGCCGCTCTGATGAGCATGGACGTGCCTGAATCGATCAGGGAGATGGAGAACTACTGTGATGACCCGAATCAATCAGACGACACGCGCAGCGAGTATGAGGAGGCATCCAACTACACGGGCCTCGGTGACATCGTCACGGACCACTCGGACGACCAAGGCGTCTGCCTTTCAATGCACCAACCATGGGCTTCTTTGGTAGTTCACGGGATCAAGAAGGTGGAAGGACGAGGATGGTCGACCTCTCACCGGGGGCGCCTGTGGATCGCAGCTACCAAGCGGAGACCGTTGCAGAGCGAGGTTGACGCTGTTCTTCAGCAGTACGAGGAGCTGCGTCAGCTGCAAGGGTTCCGCGAGCCCGAGATGCTGCTCCCCGAGCACTACCCAACTTCCGTCCTGCTTGGATGTGTGGATGTTGTGGACTGTGTCTCCCGAGAGTCGTTCCCTCCTGATGCAGACGAAGAGAAGACAGAGTGTGCCTATGGTTTCATCCTGGACAAACCTTGCCGGCTGTCCATCACACCTAAGGTAAACCAACGAAGGATGTGATGTTCGGTGTGACGTTCATGTCAGATTCTTGGCCAACCAAAGATCTGGCCGCTAGAGACGCAAGTGCTTGCTCGAGCGCAGAAGCAGCTGAGGTAGGCAGTGACCTCCACATGGTTTCAGGACTGACTCGTTCACGCTTGTAGGTATGTAGTTCCTGTGCGATAGCAAGAACCGGCTTAGCGACGATCGCTGTAATTTCAGAAGGGTGCATAGAACAAGAAACATCTCAAACAAACATTCAAATCAACCATGCTACCAAGAGGAGATGGGAATTGGAGCTTTCGAGCATGCAAACAAAACATTACAGCTTTGCAGTGATTGTATTGAAAAATGTTGTTAGTACTCTTGTCCAAAGTACTAGGACTCGTTGATGAAGCTTGTCTTGGGCGTTGCAAGAGACCTGTTCAAGGAATGTCTGTCTCTTGAAACTTGCCAAGAGCAACGACAGGCTCTGGCAAGCTAGAATCTAACTGAATAAATGAGGCCATCCTTGAAGTTGGTGTCCGCTCTGGAAAACCTTCCAAGATTTCCAACTCCTCAGATAGCGGCTTGGGATAAGCATTGTATGTATCGGGTGAGAGAATGACATGGCACGTAAGAAGATCGCCCAGTTGCACTTTGTGCTTGACGGCAGCTTCATACAAAGTTTGTCCATGAAAAGCAGCGACTCTGTATCGTTCACCTGAAAAGGCAATCAGAATTGAACGAAAAGGAGCAGGGACGCCGAGCAAAAACGCGGGCTAGCATACCGAGGTTGTTGCTGAAGGTGATATGGACAAGTCTGTCGCGCGCGTGTGGGACTGGAGACAGCGTCTTGACCTTTCCGCTCATGCTCATTGCACGGCACTGCGTTCCTACTTCATTGCGAGGGACGGTAGGATAGGCTTGATGCCTGGAGGCGTTATGGGAGAGGGTATACGACAAGCTCCTTGAGAGGATGCTCGAAGTGAGAGGAGCCGGCGAGGATCTTGACATTGATGCCATAGAGCAGCGCGCAGCCGCAGAGGAGAAGCGGCGCAGCATTGTTCCTATAAGTGGATATAAAGATTGTACTGACAAAGTGCTTGTGGGGGTATTTGTAATATGAATCAGAGTGGCGACGTATATTCGTACTGTGGAGAACAGTTTTAAACTCTGGTTATCTTGTACTGAAAATGTGTACCGTAAATAAAATCTCTCGAAGAAATGCGATCTGTGGAGCATTTATAATGTTTATACTAAGAAGTAAAAGTTTTAAAAAGGCAGGTACAGATTTTTACGTAGTTAAGTTTTATAATAGGAAAGGGTTTTAAAAGATGTTCCCCCGTACCGGTCGCTTCCACCACAACAAGAAGGGTAGAGGTTAGAATCAAAGTACCGGTCGTGTTGAGGGTTGAAGCCGGGGATCTTTCCAGTGGGGTAGAGACACACAGGAATGAAAATCCTGGGGTGGGGGGTGGGACGGACAGTATTTAGATGGGGTGAATCAATCGATTTCAAGGGGTAGGGGTGGGTGGATTATTTATAGGGGATAGGGAGGGGTTCTTTTTTTGAATTTCGAATCTAAGCAACGGGAGGTTCACCGCCATGGCTGTGAAGAGCGAGGGAGAGGGGGGAGGAGACGCCATGAGGGCAGAGAACGCAGGAAGTTCTACTTCTAAGAGACTGATCATCACTCATATGACTCTTGAGAACTTCAAGAGCTATGCTGGAATCCAGGAGATTGGTCCTTTCCACAAGGTGTGGATATGTTATGTCCTGGTTTGTGCGTCTCGATGCTAACCTTCTCCTCGTCATTCAGAAATTCTCTTCTGTTGTTGGACCAAATGGAAGTGGAAAGAGCAATGTCATCGACGCCATGTTGTTTGTCTTCGGCAAGAGGGCTAAGCAGCTTCGATTGAACAAGGTATGGATCATAAATATTCTGGTCGCATATAATTCTATGTTCCTTGTTGCAGGTTTCGGAGCTCATCCATAAGTCAGAGAGTCACATGAACCTTCAGAGCTGCAAGGTCTCCGTCCACTTTGTTGAGATCAAGAACGAAGACAATGGAACGGACGAGTTTGACATCATCCCTGGCAGCGAACTAGAAGTCTCTCGTGCGGCCTTCTCGGACAATTCGAACAAATACTACATCAATGGCCGTTCGAGCAACTACAAGGAGGTTACAAGCCTCCTCAAAGAGAAGGGAATCGATCTGGATCACAACAGGTTCTTGATCTTGCAAGGAGAGGTGGAACAGATATCTCTCATGCCCCCAAAAGCTCGCAATGAGCATGAGACCGGAATGCTCGAGTACCTGGAGGACATCATCGGTTCAAACAGGCTGATTGAGGCGATTGAGTCAGCTGCAAAGGAGGTTGATGTCTTGAATGAGGAGAGGGGGCAGAAAGTGAACAAGTTGAAGATTGTCCAGAAGGATAGAGACAACTTGGGAAGTGCGAAGGAGGAGGCTGAAGAGTATCTTAACCAACAGAAGAAATTGATCTCCAAGAAAGCCGTTCTGTACCAAATCCACTTGCAAGAGGCCCATGAGCAGCAGGTAAAGGAGCAGGAGAAGAAGACAAAGCTTGAAGAGAAGATTGCAGCTGAGAAGGACAAGTTGGAAGAATCACAGAAGCGCGTTGAGGAGATGACCACCGAGTACAATAAGGAGAAGGAGGGTTATGAGCAATTAGAGGCTGAGCTCCGACAAAGCAAAGAGGAATTTTCTGTTTTCGAAAGGAAGGATGTCAAGTACAAAGAGGACATCAAGCACTTGAAAGCCAAAGAGAAGAAGTTGAGAGAGACTGCAGTGAAGGAGAAAGAAAAGGCTGAAAAGGCAAAAGAGTCCATTTCAAAGCAAGAGAAATCCATTGTTGAGGCTGAAAAGACTGTTCAGAGAATGGAGTCTTTGATTCCTGGCGAGCAAGAGATCTTGGACGGCTTGTACGAAGCTACCAAGGAAGAGACCGAAGCTCTTCGTGCTCAGCTTGCCAAGGCTCAGGAGGAGCTGACTCCCTGGATGCAAATGACAAATGAGGCGCAGAGCTCCGTGGACATTGTTAGAGCCGAGATTGAGCTTCTTGAAAGCAAAGAGAAGAAAGCCAAGCAGGCCCTGATGGAGGCTGAGCAGCGCCTCAAGGAGGCTGAGCCCAAACGCAAGGAGAAGCAGAATAACCTCAAGTCCAAGCAAGCAGCCATCTCCAAGACCAAGAAATCGATCGAAGAAGCTCAGGAGGAACTTGGCTCTCTGGAAGAGCGCGAGAAATCCCTCAGGGAGTCTGTTCGCTCTGCTCGCACTAAGCTTGAAGATTCGAAATCTGCCCAGAAAGCCTCTTCGTCTCAGAGTACCGTCCTCAAGGTCCTCATGGAAGCCAAGAAGTCTGGAAAGATTGCCGGCATTTACGGCAGACTGGGAGACCTCGGATCCATTGACGCGAAGTATGATGTTGCTATCTCGACGGCCTGCGGTGCTTTGAATCACATCCTCGTCGAGAACACTGCTGTCGCGCAGAGATGCTGCGACCTGTTGAGGTCAACTGGCGCTGGAGTATCCACTTTCATCATGCTCGACAAGCAGAACCACCTGGCCGACAAGATGAGGAAGAACGCTGATGCCTTTCCTGCAGCAAGGCTCTTCGATCTGGTGCAGCCTCGTGAGGAGAAGTTTCTGCCCGCCTTCTACTTTGCCCTCCGTGACACGCTGGTAGCCTCTGATCTGGATGAGGCTATGCAGATCGCCTACCAGGGAAAGAGCTCCACTGGAGGAGCCAAGTTCCGTGTGGTGACGCTGGAAGGAGCTTTGATCGACACTTCGGGAACTATGTCCGGAGGAGGAGCCAAGGTTGCAAAGGGAGGCATGTCGTCGGTCCAGAGCGATCCTGATGCTCTCTCCGCCAAAGAGATTGAAAGCCTCGAGAAGAAGCTGGCAAAGGAGAGCGACGAACTGACCAGCTTGAGGACTCGCCAGCAGCTGCTCGAGAAGAGCCTTGAGACCATGAACAAGGAGTTGAGGCAGTTACAGGCCGACGTGGAGAAACTCGAGCTGGAACTCTCTGAGCTGTCAAAGGAGGAGGCCGAGACCAAGGCCAACATGGAGGTCTACAAGGCCGAGGCCAAGTCCAACCCTGAAGATGCAAAGAAGGTCAAGGAACTGAGCAAGGCGCTGTCTCAGAACGAGGACGCCCTGCAGAAGGCGAAGAAGAAGTCGGACGCTGCAGAGGAGAAGTGCAAGGCGATCCAGGATGAGATCATGAATGCCGGAGGCGAGAAGTTGAAGATGCAGAAGAAGAAGGTGGAAGGCATGACTGCGGCCCTCGAAGAAGCGAACTCGTCCATTAACAAGGGAAAGGTTTCCTTGAAGTCGCTGGCCAAGACCATCGAGAAGTCCGAGGCTGCTGCCAAGTCTGCAGAGGAAGATGCTGACGCGGCTGTGGAGGAGCTGAAGGCGCTCAAGGAGGAGTACAAGGGCATTGAGGAGGCAGCGATGAAAGTGATGGAGGTCTACCAGAAGACTCAGGAGATGCTGGACCAGAAGAAGGAGCACATGACTGGGATCGAGAAAGACTACGATAAGGTCAAGTCTGCTTTGGCAAAGCTTCGGGCTGCTCAAGTCGACATCGAGAATGAGCTTCAGGACGCTGAGAAGGCTCTCAAGGAAGTGTCGGAGAGGTCAAAGCACTGGACTTCCAAGCTGGAGGCCTTGCGTGAGGAGTATGAGCAAGAGTTTGAGGAGATGGAGGAGGCGAAGGCATCGAACGTGGAGGAGATGGAGGAGGACGAGGAGAAGGACGTGAGCGAAGACGCGAAGAAGGTCTGGGATTTGACCGCTGAGTCACTTGCCAAGTTCAACATGAAGAATCTCAAGTATGAGATCACGACCATCGAGGAAGTTCTTCAGCGCATGAACCCTAACATGGGGGCCATTGCAGAATGGCGCAAGAAAGACGCAGAGTTCAAGGAGCGGCAGGCGGAGCTTGATGCTGTGACGGAGAAGAGAGACGCGATGCGAGGGACGCATGACAACCTGAGGAAGCAGAGGCTGGACGAGTTCATGACGGGCTTCAGTATCATCTCCATGCGACTCAAGGAGATGTACCAAATGATCACGCTGGGTGGCGATGCCGAGCTCGAGCTTGTGGACTCCCTCGATCCTTTCTCGGAGGGCATCGTCTTCAGCGTCAGGCCTCCCAAGAAGTCCTGGAAGAACATCTCCAACCTCTCCGGAGGCGAGAAGACGCTCTCCTCGCTCTCTCTGGTCTTTGCCCTGCATCACTACAAGCCAACCCCGCTGTACGTCATGGATGAGATCGACGCGGCTCTCGACTTCAAGAACGTCAGCATCGTTGCCAACTACATCAAGGAACGGACACAAGACGCCCAGTTCATTATCATCTCTCTTCGCAACAACATGTTCGAGCTGGCGGACAGGTTGGTCGGCATCTACAAGACTCATCACTGCACCAAGAGCGTCACCATCAACCCTTCCCTGCTTGCTGCTCATCTGCCCCCTGTCGCCACCGTCGGCGGGAATGAGTAACTTGTCAATCAGGGACTTCACTAACTTAAAGTAAACCCTTTGTAACGTTACACGTCTCCTGCTCTTCACCCCCTCAGCGACTCGTCGCCTGTCTAAGAGGTTCTCCTTCTAAGACTCCTCTTCAGGATTCGTCGATTCGCGATCGCGATCGTCCCCGTGCACGATGCTGTCGAAGATTTCCTTGTGGTACCACAGCCTTGCCCATATGCCACACGTTCCGATGATCATGAGAAGAAGCAAAACGAAGAAAACCTGCCTATCATCAGCGTCTTGCTTGTTCGCTTCCATCCTCCTTCGCCTCATCAACATCATCATCATCACCACCACCACCACCACCACCATCACCATCATCATTAACATCATCATCATCATCATCATCATCATCATCATCATCATCATCATCATCATCATCATCATCACCATCATCACCATCACCATCACCATCCCCACCATCACCATCACCACCACCATCACCATCACCATCACCATCACCATCATCCCACAATCAACGTCACCATCTTCATTGTTCACAGCACCATCCACCATCTATCACCGTGGCCAAAGTCGCGCAGCTTCCTCCGTCTCCGTTGCATATTCCGCAGCTATCGCGGTATCCGTTGTTGGCGCACTTGGCAGAGGGAAGTACGTCGATGCCCGGGGGCCTCTGGGAGGTGGAGGAAGCAACGAGCGCAAGGAGGCTCAACCAGTACAAGGGTGACCCCATGATGGCATGCACAGCCCGAGCTGATGGGGATCTGAAGACATCGCACTGCTGCTCACGAGGGAGCATCAGCAGTGATGTTGAATGCTCGCCATGCTCATCGTGCGACCTGTCGCCTCTGCCCTCCCTGCGACAAGCACAAACTCAGTGAGAGCAGGAGATGAGGGTAAGGCAATAGAGTCGTTCAACCCTTCCTCTCACCCTCCTCCAGCCCACCCCGCTCCCAAAACTCCTGCTCCTCTTTCACCTCTTTCTCCTGCTCCTCCCCCTGCTCCTGCTCTCTGTAGCTTCAGCCCTGCCCCGCGTTCAAGCCCCACTCGCTCAACAGTTCCTGTTCCATTTCTTCCTCCCTCCTCTTCCGCTGACCCTGCTCTTCGACCCTGTCCTGTCATGCAGTACCCTGAACCATCTTGCTCTTCCTATTCCTTCCCCCCCACCTCTCTTCTCCTCCCTCCCTCTTCTCCTCCCTCCCTCCCTCCTCCCTCCGATTTTCTGCTGTTCACCGTCTACACCAGACTGGCTGGAGTAGGGGTATTGCTTTGACCCCTACCCCCATTCTCATATATGATCAGATATCAAAGTACCCCTACAATTAAACCCCCCACAAAATAAATTCCCTGTCGAGGTTTCGCACCTAGCAATACGCTGTAATGGCCGCCTGTCGGGGAGCCCTATGGCTGCTTGTGATGGCGGCGATGCTAAACGGCAGCGCCTCCTTCTCCACCAGCGTCATGCAACTGAACAGGAAGCAGCAGAGAAGCGCTGCTTGCAGGATGGAGATGCTCGCAAAGGACGAGGGACTGGACGCCAAGCACCTTGCTGTGTCTGGTTTGCTGGCACTGGGGATAACGCTTGGTGGGAATTTTCCTTCCGTAGCAGCGAGTTTGCCAGATTTGACCAGCACGCCCTTGTCTGCAGCAAAAGTCTCGATCGTGCTGGAAGGAACCCCGAGGGTGGTTGACGGAGATACCTTGGTGTTCCAGACTGGGACTGGCCAGAAAGACCGAGTGAGATTGCTCGGCATCGATGCGCCAGAATCTCGTCAGATGTGCAAGGATGAGAAGGGGTTCCCGTATGCCTGCGGCCTTCAGTCGAAGACCTACCTGCAGGACCTGATCAAGAACGACCTCGTCAAGTGCGTCGCCGAGAAGCGCGACATGTACTCAAGGGTGCTTGGAATCTGTTTTGACGAGAAGACCGGGGTGCAGATCAACGAGAACCTCGTCGAACAAGGTGAGGCTCTTGCCTATCAGCAGTACTCGAAAGTGTACGTGAAAAATGAAGAGCACGCCAAGTCTGGGAAGCGCGGAGTATGGAAAGGTTCGTTTCAAGAGCCTTGGCAGTACAGGAAAGACAAGCGTAGCAAGCAGGGTGGTGCATCAAGCAAGGCTGTAGGAAACGAGGTGTCGAAAGTTTCTCTGTCGAACAACAAACCTGTGAGCTCAGCCGACGACTTCGAAACTGACTTTGAGGAGTAAGATCAGGAATGGTTCTGTAAACACATCCACTGTGGAATTTCTCTGACAATAAAACATTCCGTCGGATTTTCAATTTCACCCAGAAATTCCATTTAATAACATCCAAAAGACTCGACAAGTAACATCATGCGATCCGTGACTAGTATGTCGGACCGAAGTCTGTCAAATGTGAGATAACGGAAACTACTTAACCCTTCCGCTCAGTGGTCGACTGATTTGTTCCACTTCGGATGGATGGTTCCCAAGAGTTTGTCCCAGTGCGTAAAGTACAAGCTGAAGTGATAACCAGGGTGCTGATGATGGATGTCGTGATGATACACGTCGTTCAAAAGCTTTCTCAAGTCTCCCGACATCCCAGTTGCTGCCCAGAGCAATTGGCTCACGTGCGGAACGTAGGGGAAAATCTCGTAGCCGCAATGGCCTCCGATGTGAATGGCGATCATCCAAAGCTCGTAGATCCTGTGCAGCTGAATGGGAATGGGAAAGATGAATATTTCAACCACCGCATTCACAAACATGATGACTGCTTCCAACCTGGGAGGGAAAACATGTCAACATGTCCATCATTGCTCAAGAGTTGATATTCTATGATTGAGAAACAAAACTGCGGCAATGCGATATCAAACAGGTGTTACAAATTACACAGTTCGCCGCACAATACAACATTTCTCGGGCGGGCAGGAAATTGAAAATCGCACGCACAGCTGTAAAAAGAGCTGAAAAAGATCTGGAAGCAAACCAAGAGAAGGAGGTATACAGGACAGACAGCAATGCAACACGAGATATTCTCATCCAAAACATGCTAGTGAGTAAGTCAGCACTTACCAATGAAAACTGTAGCCAGAGAACGCGCTAGGATCCTTGGATTGATGGTGGATGTAATGAACATGCTTCATGAAGTACGGATAGTGAAGTAGCCGATGAAAGAAGTAAAACCAGGTATCATGAAAAACATCCAAGAGAAATATCATCAAGATAGAATGGAACACGTTGAATGGGGATTGAAAGTATTCCGATAGATCATCGTTCTTAAGTACCCCGTACCCTTTGTTATGCAGCATCTGTGCTAAGTACAACATGAACGCGCGGATGCTGACCGGTATCACGCTTTGGATCGCATCTCTCACTGTGTCGGCATCGTTCTGCTTCTTACCCCCTCTCACGCTCCTCACCGGAAAGATCCTCGGCACACCAAAGTGCAAAAGACATGAGATTCCATAGTACACCAAGAAAGTAGCCGCAAAGATGCTTACGAACCCAGAGTCCAACAGGTAGAGCGATTCTGACGGCTTCCAGGAGCCTCCATACACTCCATGGCTTCCTTGCTCTATCAGGATGCTGCTGTCCGGCTCATGGCTCTGCATGTGCGCGCCCTCGTGGCTCAGGTTGGCGCCGTGCTCAACCATCGTGGCAGTCAGAATCCTTTACAGGGGCCGACCGTTACATGTTTATAAGTGAGGCCGTTACTGACGTACCCGTTACTCGACGTTGCGTTTGTCAGCAAATTTGGCGGGTGTTGAACTGAAAAGTGAAAATACACCTGAAAATTTGAATTATCGCTTCAAACTTGTTTAACGCTCTCTGGCTCATACCCGGCATGCTCAGCAGTGAAAGGAGCAAGTTCCTATGGCCGGACTTCGACGCAGGCCATGCAGGCGCTGCTTCTTCCACTCCTCCTCATACATCCATGTTCAGCATGAAGCCCAGACAGCCGAAACCCGCCCCTGCTCGTGCATCCGAGGTGCCGTTGACGTCAAACCCAAATGTGCAGGCCAAGGAGTCGGTCAAACCAGCATCGATCCCGCCGATGGCAAATGAGGTACTGAGGCGACCTCTTCCTTGGGACCTTCAGTTCCTGACAAGTTGCATGCGCCAGGCCAAGAGGCAACCAACACAGATCAAGACCGAACCCGTCAGACCCAGGAATGACAAAAATGACAAGCCAAAGACTCGCCCCTCGTTGTCTGAGCAGGTTGTGAAAGTTCAGTGTCTCGTGCTCACGCTCATGCTCTGCAAAGCTTGCAAGGGTTTCCATGAAGACGGACATCATCACGTCTTGCCTGAAGCAATCAATACTAAAAGACGGAGGCAGCACTGAAACCCCGAAACTGCTTGTTTACTGTAATTGCTTCCAAGTAGGCAGCTCATCCAGTCAGGTGATCAGACCTGCGTTGGGAAGAGACTCGATCTAACTTGTCGAAAGTTCTCATCCCCAGTCCAATTCTTCAGTGACAAGTGTAAATATGCTTTCCATCATCCAAAGAAGGAACGGATAGACATGGAGATGTTCTACAAGGACATGGTGCAATACAGCTGCGATGACAAGAAGCGTTCGTTCGTCTTCAAGATCAGACGTCAGCTCGGTAAAGAATATATGTGATGCTCAATCACCCGAAGCTAACGCGCATCCCTTTCAGAACACTTTCCGTTTGAGTACGAACCAAATCGCCCTGACCACTTCCTTTCCATCACCTTCTCCAGACAAGACTACATTTCGTGAGAGCTCATTCCCTCTGAACCTTTGACATGCAATGATTATTGCGTTGTTTTTGCAGATTCAAAAGCAGAATCTTCCCCATCGTGGGCCAAGGACGATGATAGTACAAACATCCACGATTTTTGTTGTCAACCGCAATCTTCCCTCAAAGTTTTTCGAATCTCATCACCTAGCTGTACAAAGAATATTTGCATCCTATTTTACGACGATCTCCATGTCCTCTCAGGACGTCGAGGCATCTTTAGACCTGAATGAAGCAAATCAAACCAAAAGTCTCCAACGCAGACCAACTCAAGAGGTCACGTTGGGGTTGTGAAAGAAGAGTCATCCAGAGTGAAGTCATCAAGAAGTATGCTCTCTGCTGTGTTGAGTCAGGATTGTATCTAGTGAGAATGCAAGAAACAATGCGCTGTACCCGATATCTCTTCATCCCAGTTGGGCGGCCTTTACATCATCAAGTCACTACCTTCCCAGGATGCAAGAAAAGATACTCACAGCGGAGATCTTGGAGATAATCCGCTCCGCGGTCCTCCCGTTGCAAACCCACTGGGTGCTTCACTGCGAACTGAAGCCTGCCACTTCTTGTCAGGATATCGCTAGGTGGAGGAGTGCCCATACTGGTGATCGCAACATATCTCGCCCCCTGTGAGGAACGGCATTCAGGGCATTCCAATTTCCAGCATGCCAGGGGATACCTTCGGATAGATTCGATCCCCACTGAGTTCAGCAGGTGGTCTTGCGTTATGTTGGCATTGCTGGTGCTGTCGGAGTCGTGCAGAAGTGCGGTTGGTGGCACCGTGCTTCCACCGGCAAGGCCGCCTTCTGCAAGGTAGAGAACCGTCACGCAAGCAGGAGGAAGCGAGCAATCAATGTCAGGGTACCAGGTGTGCAAGGCGAGCTCTTACACTCCTCATCAAGCTGCTGTCAAGAGCGGTTCAGGACATGACCCGCACACCAGGTCAAAAACGTGTATCAAGACACACCTTGCTCTCGTTGGCTGTAAGGTTGAGAGCTGGCGCCTCCTCCAAGAAAGATTCGGGTGGGATGCGCTCCCTTGATCTCACTCCTAAGGGCGCAAGACGATAATCCGTCTGATCATTCCTGCCATGTGACTGGATCGGCCTGATGAATTCTGATACCTCTGTTGGCAAGGCCTGTGGAAACGATGTGAGGAGCTTCTTTGGCACTCGATGGATATCGGTCGTGTGACCTCAGCTACATCATTCCTAGATGAAACTGCGTTGATTCGCCTACTTGCTGTTGGAACGTGTACTGATGAAGGGGCTCGGTTGCTCTTTTTGCAGTTCACACCAATGTGCCTGCATCAGCGACTGCTCGTGAGCGGCGCACAGCCAAGGAGGGGTGTGGAGGGAGCAGTCAAACGACAAGCTTACCAATCGGAGAGGACCAGTCCCGCCAGAATGAGAATGAGGCACTCGGAACGAGCCATCCAGCTCCGGTGCTCGATCCTGAGCCAAGAGCGTGGGGTCCAAAGACGGAGATGGAGACGATCACAGGGGAAGAGGCTGGAGCTCAACCTGTCGAGATCTCATCTGGTCCTCGCTGAGGCTGCTTCCTCACTCCTCAACGTGCTCGCCCCCCTCCCTCATCCTCCTTCCCTTCCTTCCATCCTCGATCCCACATGGACCATCGAGTTGCGCCGAGTTGGGTTGCGGGCCAACCCCTTCCACAATGAAAGAAGGAAAAGAACCTACCGGGGCCGTACTACAGGCCCCCCGGGCCGTCACTGACCCGGAGTCACTGAGTCAGTCACATGATCCGATCAGTCACTAGCCGCGCAGCGGCCGGGTCACCGGTACTGACAGTGAGTGACACCGCTTCAAGGCTTGGGCCCGGCGGCCGCACTGACTCAGTGACCCGGCGACTCAGTCTCGCCGTGACCGGCGGTCACCGTTGAGACTCGGAAAAAGGGATGAAAAGATTCAAGAGGGTAAGATTTTGAAATTTGACATACGTAGTAGTACACGCCTCTGAGAGCCGCGTCAGACGACTGGCCCGCGAGAAACTTGAAGGCTTCGAAAGAAAGAAAGGGGGGGAGGAATGGGCAGCACTACGCTGACAGCGAACTTGTGGCGACATGACAGGGGGCGTGAGGCACCTGGTTGCGGGGCCTCTAGAGCAACTCATCGTGCAGCCTGTCGGTGACAAGAAGTGAGAGGAACAGAGGAGGAGGAGGAGGAGGAGGAGGAGGAGGAGGAGGAGGAGGAGGAGGAGGAGGAGTCGGCATCACCTCTGTATCGCATCCACGAACTTCTTTGGGGTGAGCATGTCGGTCCCTCCTATCAGGATCATCCTGCCGAGGCTCTACCAGCAGCTTCAGCGGCCCGCAGAACTTTGCGGTCAAGTCGAGCTCAACGACCTGAGAGACATGATACGCCGCTCGCATTTCTGAGTAGGTAACTCCTCCCACCACGAACACGATCAGAGGCGATCTGATCGCCTGCTGCTTCCCCTCCTCCTCCTTCTCCTCCTTCATGTCTGTTCAGCTAGCCGTCAGGTCTTCCTCCCTCTCGCCTCCCACCCCCGCGTTGGAAACTTTACATGTCCTCGGTCGACTTCTGGTCGACATTCCTAAGGTGATAGCGTCTAGTTCCGAGCTTGTGTTCTTCGGGCGATCTTGTCCTGGGGTACATCAGTCTCTCTGCTTCAGCCGTCCCACCCCTGCCTCTGCAACCTCCCTCCCTCCCTCCCTCCCTCCCTCCCCTCCTTCTCTGCCTCCTCCTTCACGCTACCTGTCGATACAGCATCTGCATCCTCGGGGTTTACAGTAGGGAACGACTGTATCGGTAGTTTGCTGTCCGTCAACAGCTCGAGCAACTCCTGCAGAGGAGGACGATATCGTGAGATGTTGTAGGAGACGTCTCCGGTCTTCTCCTTGGAGCCCCACTTGAGAAACTTCCTCCTGCACTCTACAGTGAGCAGGGAGAGGAGTGAGAGGAGCAGGCCGGACATGGAGGATCTGCTGGAAGCCGGTGTGGAGATTTGAATCAGCGAGTCGAGGTTGGCGATCAACTGCTCAACAAGTTCAGGGGAGGAGAGGGGAGACGAAGGACGGCAGGAGGGGGGGGGGGCAGAGGGGACACGAAGGAGGGCAGAAGGGGGAGAGGAAGGAGGGCAGAAGAGGGGGAGGGGGAAGGGGGAAAAGGGAAGGAGAGGAGAGGAGCAGCTAGTGATGGGGTTACATGTGCATAATGCTGCGCTTCAGCCATGCCCAGCAACTGATCGATGAGGGTCTCGCCCTGGTTGTCTTGCTGCTGCGGATTTCTCTCCTGCCCTTCAAGTCAGCAGCCTGGAGGCTCATGGTTCTTGTCGACCATCGTCAGGAAGTAGATGAGGATAAGCCTCAGCTTGTCTGAGATCTGCCAAACTCTGACAAGCAGCACGGCGGTCTGAGGAAGAGCCTCGTACCTCGATCGTCTTGTCCACCAGCAGGGTAGACAGCCCCGTGGTGACCGAATTCCTCTTGACAGCCTGAGGCACAAAGAGGATGTGAGAGGAATTTTCAGCTCCAACTGGCGGGAGAGGACCTTCCCCTCCGCGTCCTGATGGCAGGACATGTTCTGTTCCCACGTGGCGATGTCCTCTAGCTTGAGATCGTTGAACCTGCTCCTTCCTCATCAGCGGTGTGCGGCGTTCTCCCTTCCCTCCCACTTCGACATGCACTTCCTGACTACATCCATGTGCAACGAGTACTTCCCCACGAGCTCCTGCAGGAGACGGTCAGCGCTCCTCCTCCTCCTCACGAGGCTCGTTCCTTGTACTGCGGCATCGCCTGGATGGCTTCTGCCATCTCCTTCAGCTCGCGCACTCCTCCCCTCACCATCCCCACGGCCTGTGGCCAACACGTCACAAGGAGCAGCAGGGGAGCCTCGCTCCTCGCCTTGTTCTCTGAAGCGAACCTGTTGAACTCGTTGAGCACAAACTCGATCGTGTCAGCGATGTGCATGTGCTTGATACGCGGCCAGAGCGGGTCCGTGTCGTTGAGCAACACCTCCTTCTCCACCTGCTGCCCACCAGCCCCCGAGAAGGAATACTTGTATTTGTCCCCCTGTATCTCCAGGAGGTCTTGCGCCATGGCCTGATGCTGCAAGTCAGGAGGGAGGGGAAGGGGGGCAAGGGGAGGCAGCCTGGTAGGTGAACTCGTGGAGGAGAGGAGAGAGTAGGTCGCCGCATCGGTCAACGATGAGGAACTGCGTCATTGTGAGTCAGCCCCTCCTCCAGCTCCGTCTCAGCATCAACAGTCGTCTTCTCCGTCGCCGAGTTGAACCAGAGGCCGATGTTGGATGACTCTGCCTGTTTCTCCAGGCGGTCCTGACGTTGCAGGGGTCACCCCCGTGCCGCTCTTGCAGAGCAGGTGGGTTACCAGCTGGAGTTCAAGAGCTCGAGCGATGACCTCCGAGACATCCGAGTGTGGGGGGGTCGTCGCGCGGTACCTCACGATAGGCCGAACCCCTAGCGAGACGCTGCGATAGGGGTCAACGGGCCACGGAGCCTACACTCACGACTCACCACAGGGTTGCCAGTCGATTCGCTATCATCATCTGCATGCTTGACTGCCCGATCAAGTCAAACGCTTGCTAGGGCAGGACTCCGCTCACCCTCTCCTCCTGCTTCGCCTTCCCGAACATGACGTGGAAGGCCTGAGGCAGATCGAGAGAGAAGACCTGCGAGCAAGAGCGGTTCAGGCTGACGAGGGAGGACGGCGAGGTCAACTCGACCTGCGACTCCATCGCAAGATATTCCGTGTTGAGCACCTTGAATGTCTTGAGACGATCCAGTAATAGCTTGCACTGCCGATATGTATTCACACAACGAGCTGATTCGGCAAACTACCCTTCACACTTGTTTGATGGGGAATAAAGTCTCATCCGTGGGCTGCGAGGTAAAATACACATGCGCCGCTGCATACCTACAGCATCAACTCAGCAGCAAGATTGTTAAAAAACAGCCTTCTTCCTGGAACTACACACTTAAAACTTTTCCTCCCGACAAGACAGATACATTCGCCTTCCCATTTTCCATGAGACTCACTTTGGCGGTTTTCCTTCTTGGAAATCAGAGCACAATCTTTTCACGGAGCTCCACTGGAGTAGTCAGAATCACTGGGGTCTTGTTAGAAGCAGCCTCCTCGAGTTACCGAAGGCGTCAGGAAGTAGATGGCATGCATATTCGGCATTGGTTGCCGGTCGAGCTCGACATTTTCGATGAGCGAAATTCCTTCCTCGGTCATTTCAGACAGCCTGCTTCAAGTTTGAAATTCATAGATAGCCGTAGCGAAAACTCAACCTGCAAGCAGTGCTGACAACCCGCACTGAGTTGCCGTCGACGACCAAGACCTTCCAGTCTTGATCGGCGCAAGTCTGCGGATCAAAGCATGAGATCAAGGATGAGAGTGAGGCTTCATTCACTTGCACTTCGACTTCACGTTACCTCAACTCAGAATTCTTGCCCATCCCACCCCACCCCACTGCCTCCTGCTCCTGCTCCTCCTCCTGCTCCTGCTCCTGCTCCTCCTGCTGCTCCTCCTCCTGCTGCTCCTGCTCCTCCTCATCCTGCTCCTGCTCCTGCTGCTCCTCCTGCTGCTCCTCCTGCTCCTGCTCCTGCTCCTGCTCCTGCTCCTGCTCCTGCTCCTGCTCCTGCTCCTCCTCCTGCTCCTGCTCCTGCTCCTCATCCTCATCCTGATCCTGCTCCTGCTCCTCCTCCTCCTCCTCCTCCCTCACCGTCTTTGCCATAGTGATCAACCGATCAGCCGTGAGGCTGCGGAGATCCGCCATGGACGATAACCTGTAAAAGCTAAAACAAAAAGCCTAACTAAAACAAACTTGGAAAGAAAATATTTTAGATGACTCGATTTTTGAAATATCGATGAGCTAATTTTAAAGGAAACTCATAAGCCGGGCGGCCATGTCAGACCGATCGATGGCGATGGCTCGTCTCCTGCCGCTGCTGCTGCTGCTCCAGCTGGCATGCCCGTGCCTCGCCTTCCTCCTCTCCTCTCCTACGAGACTCCCTCACTTGTCTCCTGCTGCTTCATCCTCGCGACTCGTGCGGTATGGGAGGAAGGAAAGGGGCCTTGCTTTGCGCCCGGCCTTGACAGTTTGCGCCTCAAGCGACGGGCTCTTATCATGGGCGAGCGAGAATGGCGCGAAGTTGACATGCGCTGTGGGGCCTGGTGGTATGACCCTGACGCAGGACGTGAAATCTAACTCGGTCGTCTGCTCCATCCCATCGAAGCTCTTCCTTTCGAGAAGCACTACCAGGGCAGCTTTCGGCAGCATGGCGGACAAACTTGACGTGAGAACTGCCATGGCGCTTCAGATTCTCTACGAAAAGTCCAAGAAGGAAGAAAGCTTCTGGTGTGAATGGCTGAAAGTTTTGCCGGACAGAGAGAATCTCGGCACTCCCTGCCTGTGGCCTGAAGACGACCAGAACCTCCTCAAGGGCACCAGCGTGTTCGAAGAGGTGGAGGCGAGCAAGAGCTTGTACTCAAAGGCCTTCGAGTCTCTCTCCTCCTCTGGTTGGGACTCCAAGATCCCCACTGAATTCTTCAACCTCGAGAGCTTCGAGTGGGCCATGGAGGTCGTTCGTTCCCGCTCCGTCGCCTTCCCCAAGTTTGACGACGGTCTGGTCCTGGCTCCTGTCGCTGACTTCTCCTTGGCGGGGAAGCTCGGAAGGGATACAATCTCTTGCGGGTATGAGGGCTTGTTCAGGGAGCCGAGGGTGACCGTCCAGTCTGTGGCGGGTGGAAAGAGCGGGTCGCCAATAGCGGTGAACTTCATGGGGAAGAGTCCTTCCTCGATGCTCTTGGATCACGGCGTCGCCAACCCGAACAAGGAGGAGGGAGAGTTCAAAGTGTCTTTTGCAGTGTCCTCGCTCGATCGATTCTTTGACGACAAGGCGGATATCCTTGAGCAGGAGGGCCTGACGACAGAGATGGTAGGTTGAGAGCTGGAATGCGGGTGAAAGAGAAGCAAAGAGATCTGGAGCTCGAGAAGAAGGAGCGGAGGATATCGGGGGAGGGGATGGATGGAAGGGAGAGAGCGAGACTTAAGTTTCTGACGCTCTTCTATGCAGACGTTCACACTGAAGGCTGATGGAACTCTGGATGAATACCTCCTCCCGTTCATGCGATTAGTGTGCATTCAGAGCTTCGATGCGTTCTTGCTGGAGTCTGTATTCCGTCAGGTCCCGCAGCCTTGCGCTTCCCCTGCTGTCTGAACTACTTTCGTCTGCAGGAGGTCTGGGGCTTCGTCAACCTGCCAGTAACTACATACGACGGGCCTTGCGGTACCTGACAGGCTGATTGCAAGGTCAGTAAGGACAATGAGAAGCTGATGTTGGAAACTTTGATCGCGACGGTGAGCCGCTTTCATACTTGCCCGACCTGACGTCCTGCCGCAAGTTCGAGGGCGCTCTTGACGACATCGGCTCCTCGGGTCGTGGACTTGACCTGTACTGAGTCTTGCAGCCTCCCTGACCCCTGTGCTCAGAATCAGAGGATATGTCCATCGTCAGGGATGCATCGTCGACTTACCGACAGGTCCAGGTCTGTCATGAGACAGTCTGGCTGTTCCACGCACGTCATGATGCCGCGGATGTCACAGGCTGCCTACGTTAGGATCGGAGAGAGGAGCGCGCTGAAGAAGACGATCTACCTGCTCGAACAGGTGGACGCTTGCTGGACTCTGCAGATCTCGAAGTGCTTTCCAAACGTGTAGCTGAGAGGTTGAGCAGGAGATGGAAGAAATGGATTCAAAGGAGTACTACCAGGAGAGACGTGAGTCGACCTCCTTGACGCTGGCTGGAACTGAAGTAGGTTTCTACGCAGGTTTGAAGTCTTTGAATCTCGACAGGTAAGAGGAGGAGGAGGAGGAGGAGGAGGAGGAGGAGGAGGAGGAGGAGGAGGAGGAAAAGAGTTTGTGACAAGTTTGGGTGTCAGGCCGGTAGACGAGTCCGAGATCGTCGATCCCAATGTGGAGTTCGGCCGCGAGAGGGATGCTCCATGGATGAGATGAATATGCACACTCAGCCGAAGCTAGAGAAGTTAGTGAAAAAATATTGTTCTCAATCCGATAACCGTAGCGATGAGCGACATGTAACGCCGATTCTGATATCACTCAGAGTCACGGTACAGTGCATGTCACGACTGAGTCACTGAGTATGGTAGCTGGCCGCCCGCCGCGCCGGGGGCCAGCGGGCCGCCAACCGTGAACTGGGCCCACTGCCGTGGCCTAGGCTCGGGCCCGGCGCGGCGTGGCACTGCCGTGCCGCCGGAGGCTGCCAGGCTGAGGCGGCCATTGACGCCAGTTGCACGGCCCGGCGGTACGCACGGTTCGACGGTCGCCCCCTGAGAAGCCCCGGCCGCTGTGCCGCCACCGTGAGCCCCCGCGGCCCGGCCCGGTGCCGACCGTACTTGCATCTGTGCCGTTGACAACCGTGAACAGGCGGCAGAGCCGCGCCGCGGCTGCCACCCTGACGTTTCAGTGGTGACTCAAACGGTTAAGCATGTGACTGACCCGGTACCGCGGCTGTGTAATGCCGGGGCCCGGTACTACCGTAACATGAACTCACGGCCTGTCGGAGCCTGCGATCACTGGCAGCCTGAGTCCGAGACCGTCGGACCGTATGAACTCAGATTCAAGGGCAAGACTCACTGAGTCAGCCTCTGGCAGTGATCGGCCTGTCCCGGCGTCACGGTAGTTCCACACGGCGGCCCGGGTGCCAGTCCCGGCGACCGGGGCCCGGCCATCCGTCACCGGGTCCTGTTGGACACTTTTCACTTTTGACAATTTTTTTCCAGCCCATCTATTTCGGGTCGGGCATGGCGGAAGAGGAGGCGCGTGTCGCGGCTTCAAACAGCCGAGGAGGAGGAGGAGGAGGAGGAGGAGGAGGAAGAGGCAGAAGAGCTGCAGCAGGAGCCCTGGTCATGATGCTGAGCTGCTTGGTCGTCTTACTCGTCTTCCCATCCATGGATGGGCGAGGCGAGTCGAGTGACCAGAGGTCTTCGACGCTGCAGGTCCAAGGCAGGGGACTCCCTGTCATCGAACCCCTGCAGGACTACAGCTCGGGCTACAAGGTGAAGTCAGGCTGACCTGAGCAGCTTCCTATCGAGCTTGTTCTTCAAGATCGCTCACCTGCCCTTCCAGGCTGTCCCTTACTTGAAGCCTCTCGGCATGGTCTTTGAGCAGGCCCCTGTGTTGAGGAGGGTGAGGCCACAAGGTGCTTTCATGGTGCCCATGGAGGAGACGAACAGGCGTCCATATGTCGTCCAACCACTCGCTCAGCGTCAGGTAACTTCTGAACCGAAGGCGCTTGAGATGTTCCTGAAGCGTCTCTGTCCGCCAGCAGGTTGGGTCGTTCCGGGCAGCCCCTCCTCTCGACGGTGATGACACTTGGCGCTTCCCGCCCCTGCCGTCGAGCTGACTGATTGACATCAGACGGCCTGCGCCAGAAGGAGATCAGCGACATCCTTGCAATCATTCGTACGTTTGCCCTTCCAAGTGACAGCTCCTGACCATGTACACTTGTAGGGGACAGCGCTGAATTGAGATCTGATTTCGAGAGGTCCTCTTTTGTGGGGAGCAAGGAGTTGTCGTTTCTGAGAGCAATGGTCCAGTGCAAGAGGCACATCTGTGAGCGGAGAATTGCCAGGCGAGGAAGCAACGGAACAGCAAGTCCCTTCGCCGAGCTCTGGTACCCTTGTATGCTGTGCTGACAATCTTCTGAGGGTGTGTCAAGACGGTGCAGAGTCAAGGGCTGGAGGGGAGATGGCACCGAGAAGAAAGTGGGCGGAAGAGAACCATGATTGGGCTACGGCAAGGTTGATTGCTACATACGACTGCTGGTTGTCAAACTCACTTTCCTCGTTTCTCCAGGTTTGCTGGCAGGAAGTATTACGGCAAGGACAAGAAAACTGTGCGAACTGGGTGAAGTTGTGAGATTGGGACCTTACGTTGTGTAGGACGGGATGCCCGACATCTCCAACATGTTTGGCATGAGTCAATCAGCAACGAGGGCTGCTGAAGGCGCTTCGGTTGCGCAGAAAGTTGAAAATGTTCTCCTCACCACCGCGGGGTAATTTCGTGCGTTCCAGGCTGCTCAGATCGTCGCAGAGCAAGCTCCAGCATCGGCTCCCTCTCAAGGAGATGAGGTAGAAAGCGGAGCAGGTGAAGAGGAGAACGATGAAGAGGAACGGGAGCTCGAGGCAAGGAAGAACACGGTCGGTCATCTTTTGCCGCGCGATCAGAGCTTCTGACTCGTGTGGCAGCTTGTGGACAGTGCTATCGAGAAGGCGCTGATCGAGAGGATGCGTAGATCGAACTATCTATCACATTGAAACATGTCTTTATCTGTGAACCAACTTTGCATACTCATCACACCCCCGAGTTCCGTCAGCTCGAACATCCTTATGACTGAATCAAGTCACAACTACTTCTTTCCAACATAGATCAAAACATACATTCCAAAGAAAACAAAACTAGGGAGTGAGGGCCCCACCACCTCAGAACCGGGACATGAACACATCGTACCCTTGGTCAAAAAACGGCATCTGCATCCCTGAAAACCTGCGCACGACAGTGAGGGAGGGAAGGCCGAGGAGTTTTGATCTCTTACTGTTGCATCGGACCAGAGCTCATGCTTGACCTCACTGACGGGTTCCCGCCGAACATCCTGAACGGGCAGACGTCAGGGAGGAGATGGTGGAGGAAGCGGCGCTTGCCTTGGGGTCATGCTGCCTTGGACCATCGCCTCGTACTGGGAGATACAGTGCTGCCTGCAATGCCATCTCGTCACCCACAACATTGACACGACTTGTCAAAAGTGACTTCCTTACCCGGTCATCAGGTCGTTTGCGGGTGTCAAAACCGCTCTCACAAGGCTGACGACGTTCTGCAAGGCTCCGTCCCTCGCTGCGATCGGGCCCTCGTAGTCGGCAAGTACGTGCAGCTCGCCCTCGGAGTTCGCACCCTTGGCGTCGCCGTCTCTATCCTCCTTCATGCTTCCTCGCCCTCGCAAGGCAAGGTGACACCCTGTCTCGTGCATGAGCTGCTTGAGCATCGACCCCCTCGTTCCGAGCAGCTTCCCCCTGCTACAGCCCATCGGAGTCTTCTGCGGAATGAAAATCTTGATGCTCGTGCGGCACAAGGACCCAAACTCTCGGTTGTGTACGACCTGCGTGTTGAACATTGGGGGGCTTCCGGGGCCCATCCCTCCTGCGGAGTAGTCGTTGTACCCTGACGACATCGAGCTGCCCTTCATCTGCGGCTCATGGAGCGCCATCCCCATGCTCCCCGACATCCCTATGCTCCCCGACATCCCCATGCTTGGCGGCTGGACGATCTCGCCATGGATGATCTTCTTGACCAGCAGCAGCACCTTGGAGAAGGTCGCGGCCATCCGTTCCCTCGGACCCTCATACTGTATCCACACATGGAAGTCCTCTAGCACGTGCGCGTGTTGCGGATCTTCGGCCAGGCTCTCCCAAGTCTGCCCATCCCTCAGCTTCAGGCTGTTCTTGCCCTTCAACTGGATCTTACAGCCGGACTCCTGCTGCAACCATCGGATCGTCTGGCCAGAAGGCCCCAGGAGCCTCCCCCTACTCGTCCCTCCCCGGACATCTCCATGGAAGGTTGTGCCGTAGCATTCCTCCGGGACAAACACCTTGAGGATGGCTCTGACATCCCCTGCACTGATCTCCTCCTCTGATTCCAGCACTGAGCTTATCCCTTCCCCCTCATGTGCGGTCCATGGCGGCACCTCGGGGGAAGCGTCCAGGTGTTGTCTGACGCGGTCAATCTCGTCGAGGAGCAGGCGCTCGCTATGAGGAAGACGCTCTGCTTCGTTCTTGGATCTGTGCCTCTCAAGCTCATACTCGAGCTCCTCCAGGTATTTCTTGGTGTCCATATCCAGATGCTTGTTCACTGAAGCATCATCCTGGATGCTCGTTCTAGGACGTTTTCCTCCTATCATCTTGCAGGCTGTTGTCGTCCTACTCTTGTTCGGTCATGTGCCCGCGTCCTTGTCTCCGAGTTCGAACGAGGTGCACAACCTTGCTTTTCAACCCACTGGAGGTGCCAGGGTTTCCAACTTCTCGCGTCCAATTGTCTCGTCCCTTCTCCTTCCTCTTTCTGTCCCCTCCTTCCTCCCTCCCTTCCTCTGTGTCCTCCCTTCCTCTGTGTCTCCTCCTCCCTTCCTCTCTTCCTCGTCGTCCCCGTCCTCTGCTCGCTTCAACCACTCCCTCTTGCCAAATCCCCTCCAATACCAGGCACCACACCCTTGAATCTGTCACCACCCCTACCACCCAGAATATCCACCCCCGTAATTTACTATCCACCCTCCATATGAGTGTAATAATCATTAATAAGGGAGGTTGTGTGCCTCTCTCTGTTTGAACCTACCCCCCACAGATTCACACTTGTACCCAACCTTTTCCTTCCTTCCACCCCCTCAAAATCACCCCCACCCCACCCCTTAGACGGAACGCTACAACAAGCAGGAAGGAATGCGAGGAATAGGAACAAGCATGAAGGGCGAAAATGAGCGAAGAAGCAGGGCTGCGATGAGAGCAGGTGGCGAGACGACATGTTCCCGCGGCGCATACATGACCATTCCTTTAATCCTCAATAAATGCAAACGTTCCTTCCTCCGTCTTCGACACCACCGACCAGTCTTAACTTAGCTTGCCCAGTTGAATCTTTTTCGCAATCTTCTGGCCTGCGCAACGAAGAGGCTCAGAGGAGGAAGCAGCGAGATGATGATGTACCCGTGTAGATGGTGGAGTCAATGATACCCATGACAGTGAACACTCCTCCAATGATGGCGCAGAGCCCCTAGCAAACACGATCACACAACTACCATCACTGCCGAGTTCCTCTAGCGCTCACAGTGAGGAAATGCAGGAAGGAGTTGTTGCGTTCAGCCAGAGTAGCCTGACGAGGATAGAAAGATCAATGATGGGGAACAGACACCTCGAGAATCTTCACCTTGATGGGAGAAAGATCGTAGAAGAAGAAGACTCCAGGCAATCCTCTGTGTGAAACATCAGTGCTGCAGCATATGCTCCCTGCCTGCTGCTTGCTCAGTCACCTGGTGAATCCCTCTAGCTGTCTCGTGTTCTCAGTGGTGGAGAACTGATTCGTAGACAAGATCTGCATGCAAGTCAGTACTGGCATCCTACTCGGCAGAAGGCAGTTCACCGTCCCGTTCCTGTACTGGTACTGGGTAGGGACAACCTATCGTAACCGCGTTACCAACGACTTGGAGGTAGACCATGGATTCGACCCCACCTTGACGAAGTACTGGTACATGGCCGATCTGAACTCACAGATTCTTGAAGAAGCAATGTCTTACACGGCAGTCGACCCCACTCGAATCACGGTACCTGACAACACCATCCAACGGGTTGACGCGGCCGGGGTACTGCGGGGGGACGTCAGACCAGCTGCTGAGCGACCTGGAGGCTCTGACCTTTCTTCCGAAGGAGAGATGGTTGATTGCATGGCTGACGTTGTAGTCGGTTTTCCTGAGAACCAGCAGATCTTGAAAGTGTACCCCAACCTGCTCGATGAAGTTGAGAGGATGGTGAGGGAGGAAAGAGGAGATGGGATGGGAGGGAAGGGGATGGGAGAAGATGAAAGAAGGGACCAAAGCTACCTGGGAAAAGCTCTTCCCGGGAGAGAAGTGAAAATTTCCAGCAACTTTGTTGACCTGCTCCCTTGTCAACCCTTCGAACTCTTTTGAGCAACTTTTTCAAGTCACGAGCAGCGGATTGGAACTTGCCTGCAATGTTCCCACAACCCGACAACCTTCGTGCCTCTCTTCCTGCATCTTCAGGAGGAAACCCTCAGTCTTGCACTGCAGAGAGGGTCAGCATATCCGACAGACCCATAGGAGCAGCACGACTACCTGAACAATTCCGTCCGAGTTCACGAAAGCCCATCCTCTCCTTCGATAGGCCTCGCGCACCTGAAGGGAAGGCTCTTGAGCAAGAGGAAGGCAAGGCAACACGAGGTTGTTCACCGAGTCGCAAGTGTTACAGCATTCGTCGGGTGACTCTTCTGCTCCGTAACATGATCCGCACTCTCCTCCTGTGAGCGGGGCGTCAAATCCTGCATGTGCTCGAAGAGTCGTAAAGTCACCGGAACCGTCTTCCTTTCCTTGGGTCACTGCATGTATTTCATTCACAAAGATGTCCATCTCAGTGGTTGTTTGGAGGTGCAGAGTTGTGAAAGGCTCACATGCTTTCACTGCGGTCCGGTTGCTATGAATGTCCAGTTCACGCTCCATCTCCGCAACATTCTGTGAAGTTGAAACTTGTTACATTCAGACAAGCACGCGAAAGCAGAAGGATCACATTTCCATCTACATCAAGTCTCTGCTTGTAAACCTCATGATGTACGTCTATATGCTGAAAGGAATGTTCGAGTCAGCACCACAGCATCAACAACTGTCCCCATCAAACCTGTTCACCACTGATATCCATCGTGTCTAAACTAATTATTGTACATGGCATGGCATGAAATCTGAATTCAGGGATCAGCTCTGCGTCACCAAGACATCCTCCCGCACGTAATATTAAAGTTAATCTGCAGCTTCTCCCCGCGCGAGGTGTCGACCCTGTGGGCCAGTTAGGTCTCCATGGTACGATGAGGGTGCCACGTACGATAGCTCGTGATCCGTTTGAATGGTCAAGTATAGATTAATTTCGCCCAAGATCAACACAAACATAATAAGAAATCTTTGGAGAGAGAAAAACAAAAAGTTGCATTAGAGCGAAATTCACAAGGTGAAATTCATACCCCAAAATCGATACCACTGCTCCAGCTAACGTCCGGACCTAGAATGAAAGATGAGGCAGATCATTTGACTCTCATTGATCTTTCTCACCTGGAAATCCTGGATTGTCTTTGGATAAATATCGAATTCTCGCAATCTGGGCCAACATAAGGTGGGTCGACCAACAGACAAGAATCCAACAACCTGCTGAAAACTCGAAAGTCCATCTTGACACACCCAATCAACTCCTTGCTCCTCAAATTTCCTGCACATAAAGCCAATCAGAAGGGTAGCCAGCCACCCTGAGTCGGGTGCCTCTTTGAAATTCCATCACATCCCCCTCATCTCAACCACTATCAATCCCTTTAAGAGCAAGATACTCTTCTTCCTCTACCATCAGACGCTTTGAAACAGCATGTTCCGCAATTTTCGCTCCTCACTTCTCTTCCCCCATCAATCATTTCCTTCCCCGCCATGTTGATATTTCACGCGCTCCTCACGACATTCCAAGGGTTCCACGTAATCCAACCCCCCTCAGCCCCTCATCAGTTGTTAGCGGGCCCGGCCCGGCGGCCCGGCCCGGCCGCCGGCGGCTGGGCGCACTCTGCCAGCCGCAGACGCCTGTCGGGCTCGCGGCCGCCTGTCCGACGTTAGTACCTGGCCGCTGAGGCCGCTGAGGCCACCGTCCGATACGGACAGTGAGACGGTCTGAAGCCTCCGCGCCGGCGGGCCCGATAGCAGTCACACGCCGCGACGGGCAGTGGGCCCCGGGGCCCGGCCAGCCTGAGTGCCGGCCCGGCCGGGCGCACTGCACCGTCGGCGGGTGCCACACTGTGACAGTGACCGGCTACTCTCTTTAACTCTCCTGATTACGGTCCTCGTACTGAATGGCGGTCCGATGCAATGATGCGGCATGAGAGCCTCGGCGACACTGTGTACGGTCCGATCCGATCGGACTCCGAGGCTCGCGAGTCGGGCCTGCGGCCCCGGGCCCGGCGCCGTGCTCAGTCAGTCACGCAAGTTTAGAGTAGTAGTACGGTAGTGTTTGTGATAATGATGAGTAAAAAAATCAGCCCATACAAAAGATGCGGGGCGCGATGCGAGTGTTTGTGTCAGGCGATGGTGGAGTTGACGACTTGGCTGCCTTGACCATGACCGTGGCGGCGATGATGGCAGGGAGCATCGAGATCGTTGGAGTGGCTGTGACAGGAGGAAACTGCTTTCTTGATGCTGGTGTACAAGCTTCCAGAAAGATCCTTGACCTTGCAGGGTTGGATGGCAAGGTCCAAGTATCGACCTGCGATGCGGAGGGAGTGAATCCCTTCCCCCGTTCTTGGAGGAGCGCTTCCTATGGCATCTGTCATATCCCCAGGCTCTTGAGGGATGGACGGCCACGCACTGAAGTATGTTGTTATCGTGTCCCTTGTGAAGTGGCTCACTCTATGCTAGTTACTACAAACTCCAGCCCACATCCACCTGGCTGAATGCTGCATGAAAAGCAATACGCCTATAACCGTCCTAGAAACAGGGCCCTTGACGTGCATGGCAAGGGCCCTTCATGCCTTCCCTGAACTGGCAAAGCCGGACAGAATCAGCCAGGTAAAGCCAGGACCGATCTGCTCAACTCAGATTCTCCTTCAGCTAGTTTGGATGGGCGGAGCTATTGACGTTGAAGGGAATGTACACAGAGAGGGGTAAGGCGTTCTCTAGTGCTTCAGCCTTGCCTGATGAGATCCGATGGCCGGGATAGAACGGACGGCTCAGCGGAGTGGAACGTGTATTGGGATCCGCTATCAGCGAAGAAAGTGATCGATGCAGGTAAGGGTGGGCGCATGGGATCATTGTTGATGATTATTTAAGGACCAAAACTTCGTATTTGTCCGCTCGATGTTTGCAATCAAGCTCCCATCACAACCAAGTTCCTGGTTGACTTGTACGGGGTTGCGGTGCAGCCCTCGGGTGCACTGAAAGTTGCGCAGGTCTATGCGGACCAAGCCTTTCGCCCCTGAGCGGGTACACTTTGCTGACATCACCGGTCAAATTTTTGCTCCTTCGATGAGATCCTTTGAATGGTACGATGTTGCACGTTGGTGCAAGCAAGGCCAACATTTGAGGCAGGGGAGACGAGAAATCGTCCAGCAAGCCTTCGCTCTTTGCTTGGGATGTACTGGCTGCCAGCTATGCACTGTACCTGCTTGGAGGACTTGTGGGTCTGCCAGTTGACTTTCTCAATCCTTGGCAGATGGCCGGACTTGTTCGCTTGTGAGGAAATGAATCTCGATGTGGTAGGTTGACCACCAGGCTCATTGTCCTAAGCCAATGTGTACTTCGACGAAGCTGAATGGTTTTGGATTTTTCAGTCCTTGGAAGGGCCAAGTGAAGGGAGGCTGTTTAGGTCATCGCAGGCAACGCAGGTGGTGAACGTGATTGCTCTTTTGTTACCAGTCACCGGCCGATGGCAGAGACAGAGCTGTACGGTACTCAAGACTGTCAACAACGAGGAGTGGAAATCAAGATATTTCTCGCTTTTGTCTGATACCCCCCCGGAACACAGATGACAGGATTTTCGAAATGATAACTGGGGTTGACTGATATCAATAAGACGAACCAATAAGACGAATTTGTCACCGGCTGTACTGATGAGGGGAGAGCCAGGGTGCAACAGAAAAGACTCTGAGAGGTGAAGGCACAGCAGCAAGGAGAGTCACTCGCTCGGAGGGACTCGGGATGACTCACCGTGCCGGGGGAGACCGGTATCACAGACGGTCATGCTGAGAAGAGGAGAAGCCTCCCCGGGAAAGAAGTTGGGAGGACTCCCCGGCCGGGTCCGATCGGCCCACAGTGGGTCGGCGGCCTTCAACGGTTTCGTTTAGCTACACTTGAATCTGATGTCGGCGCGACTGAGATAGGTCATGGGTCACCAGAAGCCTTACCGTGGCATTTAGACTGAGAATCTCAGCATTTTGAAGCATTAGCTCTCCTGTTTTTCCCTGTGCCATTGCCAACATTTCACCGTGCGGCAGCTCTGTAGGGTCGGAATGCAAACCACTGTCAGGTATCAGCTGCCAACTTCACACTGCTAAAATGAACCCACATGCAGGGAGGTCAATATCCTCACTTGTTATGCTCAAAACAACAGCTGCCATTAATTTATCGTTTCACTGTTGAACACGACAGGGCACAAAAGCGCCATTTTTGCAGTGAAAGTTGAGATTAGATTTTCGAAAAGAGCTGCAACATGAAAGGAAGAGTAAATTCAATTGAAGTTCAAATCAACCTGTACCAAAACCACTTGCAATCATGTTTTTGTGTTTGCTTTCCATCGTAACTGACCAAACGTAAGCTTCTATGAAGTGATCAAATAATTTTCGTTTTCCTATCGTTAGCTTGCAAATTCACAGCGCTACACAAGGGATAAAATCAACCATAAAAAATTTCTATCATGATATGGAATGCAGTTTGCTATTGGAATTTACTGGTACCAACCCAAACTCAACAGCACAATTTCTGTTTGGAATCAGTAGTCTGTGACACGATTTGAGGCGTTGCCTCTCATCACATATTGTTGTTCCCTAATCTGGCGCTCAAGAGGCCAAATTTGAGGAGCAACATAGGCAATCCCCAAGCCTAAAAACCTTTGTCAGGACAAGAAAGGTATCAAATTTTGCGTCCCCTCCAACCACATATCTGCATCAGAAAGACTTACCGACAACGCCCAAGACAATACTGTAGACAGCAATGGGCTCATGTTCCATGGCGCTCTTCATGCCTCCCATGAAGCCTCCGTTCGCTACGCTCGCTATGCGCGCTACGTTCGCCACTCGCTGCAGTTGCCTGCTGCTTACCATGCCGAGGAGCGGACAGCGCTGTTGTGGGATGAGGGGCCAAAAAGCAACCGGGACAGAGATGGGATGTGGGTTTGAAACTTTGTCGTTACGTATCCAACCGTAGCACCGTTACAGTAACGGTGAAGTCCTCCGTTGAGGCGGACTCGAAGTGATCAGCCACGTGGACAAGAATAGGGTAGGTGGGAAACGGGTTCCATGAGGGGGTACAGAACACACTTGGACGGTACCAGGTTTGAAGGTACCCCCAGCAATCACCGGTTGTTCATTGTTTGATTGTCCACCCTACCCACTATTTTTACATCATTGAAAGGGATAAGGACCCCTGTATTTCCGTGTGAAACCTGTACCCTACCCTGTGGCTTTCTGTCGAGGGGTCGTACATGCCTCTTGGTCGAAAGGAGGGAGGTTGAAGAGGCACGTCTCTTCGACTAATGGGAGGGGTGGGGTAGGCTGGAAGGCTAAGACAGTAGCTCAGAAGGAAGGGTTGGGTTATTACATTGGAGAGGATATTGATAAAAGTGAAGGTAGTGCTGTGTATGAGAATCATCATCCCACGGTGTCTTTTTTTTCAAGCAAGTGGGTGGGGTAGTGGCAGAGGGTATGTAAAGGGCCAGGGGACCACTCCGCAGCACACCAGAGACGGTGAGAGCAGCTGCCATGGATCTTGATAGCTTCTTCCTCCCCTTTGTCTCGCGCTTCCCCTCCCTCCTTGTGAAGATGAATGATATATGATGTCTTTGTATCGTTCTGACTGATGCATCCAGATGATCTGCAAGCTCTTTGACCTCGAGGACTACGCCGGTACCTACCGCGAGACCCGCAACGCCTACCTCAAGGCCGCCAACCAGCTCAAGCTCGCCACTGGCCCCTACAAGGCTGCCCGCGATGCCTACGTCGCTGCCACCGCCACCTACACCAAGTCCCTCTACGAGTAAATTATCCGCTTGGGCATCCAGTGAAGCTTCCAGTGCAGTCGGAACACCCAGCAAGGGACTCGCAGCCAGCTCGGCTAAGTCTGGATGAGTTCATTCATGCCAAGAGGTGCCTTGCTCATCCGAGCATCGAGGAGTCGAGATCTCAATTACGCTCCTTCAGATCCCTCCAAACTTCAGATTGTGACACCAAATAGTGATACTTGTCAGTCTCTCAAATGCCTTTGCTTGATACTGTCATTCTTTCAACTGCCGTTGCTGGCACGTATTTGACCGACCGAAAAATACTCACAAGAACAACGGTGTATGGTTCCTTGCACAAAAGATGCCTTGTTCGGACGGGCACTCACCGCAGTGCTTGTCTAGCAAATCATTCATTTCCAATGTCTTCTCGGAGAACCAAGGGAGTTTAGCAAGTGAAATTGTTAAAGTTTGGGTTCAAATTGAAAGAAGCGTGGAGATGTACTTGCTCATAAAGGTGTCGCATTGACCACCGTACGGTCGGTGTCGTTCACAGTTCATTGTTGTCAGCCGCTTGAGACGGTCACAGTCTGTGCGGGTGCCGTCCGACTCAATTATTGTCCGATCGCAGCTTCTGAGTCCGAACAAAAGTCCGGCTGCGGCCGGTCTTCTGTGCGCGGCCGGAAGATCTGACTCTAAAGAATCTGTGCCATGGGACTGCGGCCCACACAGAGACTCAGGTCCATTCGTTCAAAGGCTTGAATGACAGGCAAGCTGCGGTCATCAGTGCGGTGTCGGGGGGGTTGCTCGGACTGACCCCCATGGCCCTCTGGTCCTCAAGTTGGGGGTCAGCAGTCGGCAGGATGAGGGTTGGTTCTCACTGACGGTCTTTTCTCCTCTCTCTGTATGGCCTGTGCGACAGTGTCAGGGTCCAGTCCCTTCTTGATTTAATATTGTCTATCTTCTGCCCTTTCTGTTGGTCATTGATCAGTTCTGAGGCGGGGTTTATTCTCCTAGGCATCGTCCCCAGCTAGTCGCCTACAAACTGGGTATGCTGAGCATGAGCCTTGGGCGGGAGGAGCAGGAAGACGAGACAAGGAGCACATGCAGACAGAGAGACAGAGAGACGAGAGAGATGAGACGATCAGTGTGGAGCAATCGATGGCCAACAATAGCAGCCATTGAACTTTTAATTCATGTCACGATGAAATTTGCATCTGTTTGTGGACCATATCTCACTGCCTATTGCTGATTTCTGATAAACGAAAATCTTTTATTTGTCATTGCTTTATCTAGGAGATGTTGATTCTGAAATCGTTGAATCAACAAAAGTATTCGGATCTCCCTTTGGATGAAAGGTTGGTCTTACAATTTTGTATGATGCCACCGGTGATACTCGATCAAAGCAAAAATGTGCTTTTTGGACGATGCGAAAGTTGTCAAGTAACCCTACTCTTGTTGGCTTGAAATGCTTGCACTAAGCCCAACATTAGGTGGTGTCGCATAACAGCTTCATGTCAAAAATCCATGCTCGACTTGTTACTCAGACAAATAATGACCAGGTTGTTTCTTTGATGGGATGGTCGATTGTGTTTGATCCTACGTTGATGAAAACAGCTCGAAGTGACTTTGCATGACTTGAGTACCAACGGAACGTATGTCAACGACGATAAGATTGGAAGGGGCAACCACGTGAAGCTCAAGGTCCTCTCTTGTTCGTAAGTCCTGCAAGGTTTTCACGCCAATGCAGGTGGGCGACTGTATCTCTGTTGGCAAACCTCCACGGAGGCAACAAGATGGCGTCTTGGTGGACTGGTGGGCTTGGTATGGAGACAACGAGGCATGTCCAGGGAAGCGCTTCTTTCTCCGGATGAAAGACCCAGCATTTCATGCCATCGACAAGATGACCTACTCCATCGGGCGGGCTGAATCCTCCGACCTTGCCTTGACCATGCCCCAAGTCAGCAGCCTCCACTGCAAGATCACCTTCACCCCCAAGAGCAGGGAAGATGGCGTTTTCGGCGGCATGGACGATGACAGGGAGTACGAGGTCAAGCTCGAGCACCTCTCTCGCACCAACCCCACCTATGTCAACGACAAGGTCGTGGAGAGTTTCTGCATCCTCCAGCACCTCGACGTCATTCACGTTGCCCTCAAGACCCGAGACCCTATCCTGTTCATCGATAAGAGAAGTCAGGTGTTGTTGCCTTTGATGCAATGATCGAGTCGGTTTATTTGTCCGCAAGTCTTTTGTTTCTTACAGGCTGGACGAGATTCAAGAGTCTGCTAGCCTCCGCACGGTTGAGAATGTGTCTAGTCAGCAAGCTGAGGAGCTACCTTCGTCGCAGGCCGAATATGCTGGTGAGGGATCAGGAATTGTTGTTGCCGCCCTCTGAGAAGCACTTTGTAGGGTTGAGGGACAAATACTTTAGTCTGGGGTCGATCGACATAAACCGGGGCTCTGGGATAGAGGTATAAAGGGGGGAAACAGACGGGCTGACATGTGATGGGAAGTGAAGGTGCGCCGAGTCAAACGGAAATCAGATCAGCAGATCTTTGTTTGCAAGAAGTTCGTGGGGCTGCCGAGGAGATCCAAGAACTCTGAAGCAAAACACAAGAAGGAGATTGACCTGCTCATGTCGATTAAGCATCCGAATGTACAGGACTTGTCTCATTGTTCTGTCTTCCCCAGTAGATCATACTTGAATGTGTCAGATTGTCAAGTTGGAAGATGTCTGCGTCGCCCGTTCGTCCGTCTGCCTCATCATGGAGCAAGTGATGTTTTCTCGCCTCATCATCTCGATGAAGCATGAGGCTCAGACTCTCCCACAGCTTGCAGGCGATCTCTTCAAGTACTTGCTGAAAGTGATGAGCACCTCCAAGTCCGTGAAAAACGGCATCGAGGAAGACCTGGTCCTCGTTTCCTTCTCGTCCTTTGGCTCTGTTGAACTTCTCCCGCAGGCCAAGAAATGGATCAGCCAAGTCCTTGACGCCTTAGACTACCTCCATGACAAGAAAGTGAGTCATCCTCGGAATCCTCTTGCCGCTGATTCCATTCCATGATGGCCCCGCTCTCAGATCGTCCATCGCGACATCAAGGCTGAGAACATCCTCCTCACTGAAATGACGCCCGAAGCGACAGCCAAGGTTCTTGGCCGCGCCCTCCCTCTTTCGAGCTTCTGATGGCTGACTCGCAGCTCTGTGACTTCGGAGAATCCAAGTTAATTCCGAGTGGGTGAGAACCTGAGGCGGGCAGCCGCGTTGTTGTGGATGACGAGGGCTGCAGACGGAGCTCGACTCGTCAGATAGGAACACATGGCTTCATGGCGCCCGAGATCTGCGAGAAGGACGGTGAGGAGACAGTCTTTCGATCCCTTCCTCCTCCTCTGACCTCGGTGTGACAGGCAAGCCGTATGACTTCAAGGTCGACTTGTGGTCGCTGGGGATCACCTTGTATCAAGTGCTTAGCGGCTGGAATGTCGATGACATTGGTGAGGGAGGAGGAGGAAGGAGTGTGGTGGGGAACCAATTTTCCAAGCTCACATGCTGGCAGAAGCGACAGGTGTCGGGACTCTCTCCTGCTCGGAAGCAGATGAAGATCAGAGCCATGAAGATATCGACAGAGCGTTCCCAGGAGAAGTGAGCCGCCTCTGCCCTGCCCTGCCCTGCCCTGCCCTGCCCTGCCCTGCCCTGCCCTGCCCTGCCCTGCCCTGCCCTGCTCCCTCACACAGCGAGCAGGAATGGGAAAACCGCAGCAGGGAAGTGAAGGACTTGATCACATGCCTCCTCAAGCGAAACCCGGAGGACCGACCGACCATCAAGGTGACGTGTCATGTCCCCGGTCAGCGGCGGGCTGATTCTTGGACTACAGGAAGCGAAGCGACATAAGTGGTTCCTCCCCGGCGCTGAAGGGCTTGCGGATGAAGAAGCAGCCGCTGCCATGCACACCAGATCGAAGAAGCGAGCGAGAGCTTCGAGATAGCAAGAGAGGATGAAGGCCTCGGAAAGGGGAAGAGGAAGTGAATTTAGTACTTACAACATGAGTCGTTAAGAGTATATAGAAGGGATTCAACGAGCATAAAGATGACTCTGGCGAATCATCGTAGCACTGGCAACGGCACTGGGCTCCGCTGCAACAGAACCAGCCCGCAGCCCGGGGCCCGGGCTGGGCCCCGGCGCCGCGCGGCGCCGCGCGGTCCAGCTCAGTAGTACTACGGAACTTGACTTTCAGTAAAGTTTTAAAGTTAGAGTGAAGGCTTGATTGCGACGACAGTTACATGCTAACCGTGAGCAGTTACACACTTTGAGGCTTGTCAAGTACCATGGCGGGGGCGATAGCCGATTTCGATCATGATCGACAGGTGAAGGAGGAGGAGGAGGAGGAGGGTGAGAAGAAGGAGAAGAGATATGTTGGCAGAAAGAACGAGGAGTTGAGTGACCGTACCAAGAGCGTCAGAGCAGGACTGAGAAGAGGAGGGGAAAGTTGAGAGCGAAATGACGAGATTGAGAGAGAAAATAAAGGAGACCAGTAAGAACAAGAGATGGATGTTGCTGGTGATTCATCACGCCTGTGAGCGTTGGATCTTGGCGAAGTGGCGGAGGTGGAGGTAGGGGAAGGGGAGGAGGAAGCAGGAGCAGCAAGGGAGACCAGATGCCATGGCTCTCACGCTCAAGGCAGATGCTCAAGAGCGAAGACAAGCAGGCGTTTGGGATCGGAATAACCTTCATGCGGGTCGAGGACCCGGCGGGGAAAGGGTCCAAGGTAATCGTCAATCAGCTCATCAAGCATGGCTCAGCCGAGATCGACGGGTCGCTGAAGGAGGGAGACGTCATCACACACGTCAACGGCGTCTCCCTGGTGCCTCCCCCGCTGGTTGTCGACCGATGGAGGCTGACGAGTTTGACTGCAGGTCGGGCTGGACGACGAGGAGGTCAGGAGATGCATCCGTGGCGCTAGCGGCAGCAGCGTGCAAATCCGTTACCAGAGGAACTCAAACAGCAAGGAGGTTTGCCTTGAAAGAGGGAACGCCGGGTACTGGGGGCTGAGGGAGGAGCTTGAGGGGCTGAGAGCCTCCGCTGCTGGCCTTGAGCTCGAGAAGCGAGCGATGCAGCAGAGCATGATTGAGCTGCAGCGGCGGCTGGAGCAGGAGAAGGTGAGCAGGGTGGAGGCGGAGGAGAAGCTACAGTCGCTGGACTTCGAGGTGAAGAACTTGAAGAGGTCGAGCAAGGAACAGGCAGACGAGCTGGGCAAGTGGAGGGCGGAGGCATCGGAGATGAGGGAGAAGGTGACGAGGTTGAGCTCGGAGCTCAAGGCGGAGGTGTACGAGAAGAATGCGGCGGAGGAGAGGGAAAACCTGATGCAGAAGAAGTTCCTGGAGGAGCTGCACGAGAGGAAGAGGATGGAGAGTGACTACGAGGTCCTGATCGAGGGCCTCCGGTCGCAGTCGACCTTCCTGAAGAGGAGGGTGGAACAGGAGGAGGAGCAGATCCGATCGCTGGCAGCGGGGAGCGAGGAGGCGCAGGAGGGCTTGAGGAGTCAGCAGCGGCACATGGAGAGGATGGAGCTTGTGATCGCGAAGCTCGAGACAAACTTGGAGGACGCGCGCAGGTCGCTGAGCAGGAGCGAAGCCAGGCACGAGGTGGCGCAGGAGAGGATAAGAAAGTTGGATGTAAGAGACTTGTGCTCCTTCATTGCATCCTCTCCTCCCTCCTCTGCTGCTCCCTCCTTGCCTCCTCCTCTGCTCCTCTGCTCCCTCCTCTGCTCCCTCCTCTGCTGCTCTGCTGCTCTGCTCCTCCCTCCTCTGCTCCTCTGCTCCTCTGCTCCTCTGCTCCTGTCCCCCTCCTCTCTATATCTTCTTCTATCCCCCTCCCCTCCTGATGCTGATTCCTCCTGCTCTCGCATGCTCTCCAGTGCTTCCTCCCCTTATCCCGATGCAGGCCGAGGTCAACCGGCTCGAAGCTCAGGCTGCTCGCGTGCACGACGAGCTCGCCGCTCACATGCGAGCTGAAGGAGAGCTGGAGAGAGAGAAGACGCTCGTGCGAGCGCAGCTGGAGGCTGAGCGGGGGAGGATGGAGGCGATGAGCTCGATGGCATGGAAACAGGCAGATCGACTTGCGCAGCTCGAGGAGGACACGATGGTGAAGATGCTGCGACTGGAGCTGCAGCAGAAGGATGGGAGGATCCTTGTGCTGGAGGAGGAGCTGGAGGAGGTGAACAAGAGGCTGGAGAGGCAGCAGAGCTCGAGCAAGGCTGCGAGGGAGCAGCTGGCGTGTGCGGAGGAGGAGAAGGAGGTGAGGAGGAAGAGGAAGGAGTTCTGATGCCTGAGGAGGAGTTTGACTGACAGGCAATGAGGGCTGAAATCATTCTGGTGAAAGAGCACGCACAGTTACAGCAGAGGAACAGCCTGCAAGCTCAGCACCAGGTTGGATGATCAGGGGGAGAGGAGGAGGAGGGAGGAGGGAGGAGGGAGGAGGGAGGAGGGAGGAGGGAGGAGGGAGGAGGGAGGAGGAGACGGGGTGGGGGGAGACGGGGGAAATGGGGGAGGGAAGGTCGAAGTAGGCCA